GTTTAGCAATGTCATTCTTGATCTAGAAGTTCCCTGTAAAAATATGATTTATTAATTCTATGTCTACATACAATCTCATCTGCAATCTTCTTTTTGGTTAAGTTAAATGTTTTTCTTGCTCTTTCTCTGGAGGGCCAGGAGGGGGACTGTGGGTTCAGCTAATCTTAGAATCGTCAAGTTATCATGAAGTGCTTTGCAGTTTCCTTAGTTAATAGACATCCGTGTGATTTGTAAACTATATGATTCCTTATTATAAATGTCTTCTGTGTTTTATCACCAACCACAACAGAGTAACAAGTCATACTTGAAAAAATAGATTTACAGGACTTTATACAGGAAATGCTTCAGAATCTTTTTATTTCTTGATAATAAGTATTGACCCTGTGGTGAGAATGTATCTTGCTTCTTTTCTTTTGGCTTTCAACCTCTCTTCCTTTTTCCACTTTTACTTCTTGATCTGGAAGAAGGGAATTTGCCTTCTGCAGTTCTGCTTGGAAATCTTGCTTACTTTATGAACCTTAGTGGTGGACTGGTGGTTATACTGGTTTTTAATTTTCTCCCCTCTTCTGCCCCGTTTGCCCCTTAGTAGAAAAGAAACTGTGTTGGCCTGTTATTGCATTATAAATGTTGCCAGAAGCAGAACTGCCTAAATACTTGACACGTTACAACATCAAAACGGATGCGGATCCAATGTACTGTCATCAGAAATCAGGCAGAACCAAAAAATTTGTGATACTCCAAGTCTCCAAGTCCCGCTGCAGATTGTCTCCTATACACAAAATCAAAAAGAAAATTCCACTCAGTATGCCATTGGGACTTGAGATCCTAATTTCTTTGGACTTAGGAGAAAATAGCAATGAAAACTATGATAAATCCATGGTAAGACTAGCACCTTCCCTGAATGAATTTCCCATGTGAGGCTCTGTGTATGAAGACCTTTCTAACCAAACCTGTTTTTATGAAATGCCATCTTCCTTGTAAGACAAGCACTGCATTCTTTTATCCGACCTATAGTCTAGAAGATCTTATTGAAAAGAAATTCAGATTTCAAAGGTCTCCCAATTCTATTGATCATCCATGTAGTACATCACTTGAATAATTTTCAATTATAGCCTAGACTAGAACTCATTCTAGCACTAACTAATGGAGCTTAAAGCCATGTCTGAAAAGAGTGAGCTTAGCTGGATTAGATTCCTGCACATCCTAAGGGTCATTATTTATCCGACTTTAATGCGAATCTGTATTGTAACATAGAGCCTCTAGAGGGCCTGCTAGACTCTCACACTAATTACCTTAAGCTGGACTAAATTTGTAGTCTTGGATTTCATTTGAAAGGATTTTGAAAATGATGTCATATTCCTGTTTGTCACTAGGCAAGATCCTCACACTATCGTAGACTACTTGCTTTTTTCCTTCTTGAAGTAGAAAACATAAATGAGATGAATGCAGGCAAAACTATAATCAATCTTTGAAAGAAGAGTGACTTAATTAATGCTCAAGAAAAGCAATTTCACCTTCCCTCTTAGAAAATCCATGCTTCTTTGCACTGGAGAGATTTGTGTTGTGTAAAACGAAAGCTATATCATTCTTTTCTAATTCTGCTTGAATGTTACTGCAGGGTCATATCTCCATCCCCTACAACAAAAGAAGCATTATCTAAAGATAGTTCAATGGTATGTGGACCATTTATGCTATTTTAACTTTTAAGCTCCTAAAAACAATTTGGACTTTATATTGTAATTGACAATTTTTATCATGCTAATTAATTGGTATGTGGACCATTATGCTATTTTAAGTTCATGAAAAAAAAATTAAAAAAATTGGACTTTCTACTGTCATAGAAATTGTTTGTCTTGTCTTAATTATAATTGATAATAACGTGCAATGATTCACTTTGTTCCGTGACTGTTTATGTAGGCTGCTGGAAACCCACTCAGCATTCTGCAGGCGAGAAATCATGCTGTAGCACAAGCACAGCAAGAGGGCTGCACTGCAAATTTCCGGATACTTGATTCACCATTCGGAAACTTTCTGATTCCAGTTATACCAACTCGCGCAGAACTTTCTGGATGATTCTGTCATATTACCAATCCAATTGAAGATGTATGTTCTTATTCCCTATAGTACACTGTCTTGTTGCTTACAAGTTGCACCATTATAAAACTAGTGCCTCTGTGCTATGCTGTAGGCCTTATCGAGTTATCGATACATTAATGATCATAAGAAGCAGACTGTCCTATGAAATCAATTCATCTCTTTCTAGAATGCTCAACTTGCTGCTCAAAACAAAACAGACTCTACTGTCTACACAGGTAGATTATGGAATGAAGAGGAAACCCTTTTGACGTGGCGACACGTGGTATGTGGGCTGATTTCAGCCCATTAGGATTATTGGAAAAAGAAGGCCCAAGAAACATGGGCACCTCATGGGCAGATGAATATTTGCTGAAATATAAAGCTTCCAAAATGATATTTTTGCATGGAATTTTTATATTTTTCCTGTGGATGGATGATTGATGTGGTATTGTGGTGGTAGCTTACATGTTCTTTTCGTTACATGTGCCAAATTTCATCATCAATTTGTCTTGAAATCAAAAATCAATCAGATTCCCCAAATATCCTCTTTTGGACCACTTTTTTTTTTTTTTTTTTTTTTTTTTTTTTTTTTTTTTTTTTTTTGAAAAATCCATATTGTATGGCAAATCATAAGACTATGTTTTTCCTTAACTGTCCTAGTGGAAAATAGGTGGGTCCAAGTTCTAATTCCAATTGTTTTTGATGATGTGATGTATTATCATATTATCATTCAATGCTGTGCTTTACAAAAAATAGGTATTTGTCAATATTGATGTGATAAATTGTGGCTATGGACTGCACAAGGTCTGATTTTCTTTGCTTATCATTTTTTCTAAAAAACAATGGTTCAATTTTACTCAGGATTGCAATCAAACATGTCAAAAGTTATAAAATAAGAAAATTTTAAGGGTTGTTTTTATTTACCTGATTATTATTTATTAAAACTTATCTAAATTTATTTATACTTACCAACTTTTATCTAAACTTATTTTTTCTAAACTTATCTTATTTGAACTTATTAACTCTTATTCGAATTTGTTTTTTCTAAACTTATCTTATCTGGATTTATCATTATTTAACTTCTTTTATGAGAGGTAATTATCTAATGTTGTTTTTGTTAGAGTTGTAAAAAGTGGGGTGTACAAAAATCCCTGAAATGTTTTTTGAACTAAGACAATGATGATTCTTATCTTAGCTAACATGGCAGATTAATCATGGTGCATGCTTTCTAATCCTACACCAAAGCAATATAAAGACATAATACATGGTATGATCAAAACTTTGGTGTTAATGAGTAAATAATTGACAATTAGTAAAGTTTTAATAGCCTTTTTATAAATTTTGATAGTTTATATGGATAACACTGGTAAATGGGTGAAAGACAACGAAAATAAAAGAGAAAGGAGGGGAGAGAGCCAGAGAGGATTGAACTTATATTTATAACTTTTGAAAAGACTTTGTTTATATAAAGGGAAATGAAATGAGATTCCTATTTCATCTATCCATCACTCTCCTCCTTTCTTTATCTTCAAATTCTTTGATGTCGCTAAATCCTGTTTTGTTCGACTTATTTTAAAAATTATTTGAGATATAAAAAGTTTCACTTTAGACAAGTTCAAATATGTTTATATGTACCAAGGTCAAACAAAATAAATTATATTTAACATAGCTTTAGACCCTAAATGTACTTATTAATATTCTAAGATTTGAGTTGAATAAAAAAATAGATGTATCATCTCTATCCAATAGTTGATAGATTATATTACGGAGTATAAGGGAGAAAAATATAAGCTCAATAGTTTTTAAATGAATAAAAAAATTAGGAAAATAGTGGTTCAATCAAAAATTATAAAAGGTTGAATATTACTACAAGTATATGTCACCTAATTTACATAAGATTTTACGCTTATCCAATGCATAACTTAAACCATTAATACTTTATAAAATATTCAATAAGTAAAACTTATTGAAATTTATGTAGTACTAGACTACTATGGAGTAGTAATAGTTTGAAAATAATACGAAATAAAGAAAAATCTTACATGGCTACGTTTTTTCCCAGAAATATAAAATCGACTATAATAGTCAAAATAGAACATTGCAAAAGTCAAAACATTGCAATTAAATAAAACGATGAAGTAAGGGTTTGTTTGGCTTTGTTGTGGTTTTCTATATTTTGGTTTTAAAAATCATATGACATATATCATATAATGAATAAAATATTAGTCAAACTTATTAAAATCCTGATAATTTAGAAAACTGACAAAAAAAAGTGGAAACACCTTTTTTGTTTCTTGTTTTTGGTTTTTAAAAAAACAAAAAATTAAAAACAAAAAACAATGCCGAACAAGCCCTAAGTTTTAACTTTAATGTTTCATGTGGCTTTATAACCAACAAGTACTTTGAATCAACCAATACTTCGTATTAAGGTTGTTGATTTCATCTTAAACTCGAGATAATGCATATTAGTCAGAATCTAGTAGATAAATGACAAAACACTTCTCACTCCCATAGTATAAAAACGCCATTCAAGGCATCGTGATTCATGAATCATCCTCTCTGCAAAGGAAAAAAAAAAAAACACTTTTTTCAAAAATCTCCCAAAAATACAAAAATAAAATTAAAAATCCTTAAAAGTTAAGACCAGTGAGACCACCTTTACGGCAAAGCTCCGGTTAAAACGGTCTCTCCAAAAAAAAAAAAAAAAAATCATCTGAATTTCCCAATCAATTTTACCCGGATCTACTCATTTTCTCTCTCATCCATTTCTCATCAAGATTGCATCTTGAGAAGAAAGAAATCCCAATTTCCCAACATGTCCAATTAATCCAAATTTCTATCCATTGTTAATTTTTTGTAGAGAGAGAAAGTAAATTAATTGTACAACACCCATCAAATTCAGTGAAGTTTTAGAGAGAGAAAAAATGAGGAAAGCAGCGGTGGGGGTGGCGGTGATAGGTGCGGCGGCGGTGTGTGTGGCGGCGGCGGTGGTGGTTCGACAAAGGATGAAGAGTTCAAGAAAGTGGGGTCGTGTAATGGCTATACTTAAGGAGCTTGATGACAAGTGTGGGACCCCTTTGGGTAAGCTTAGACAGGTTGCTGATGCTATGACTGTTGAGATGCATGCTGGTCTTGCATCTGAAGGTGGTTCTAAGCTTAAGATGCTCATCAGCTATGTTGATAATCTTCCTACTGGGTTCGTGTTTTGATTTGATTTTCTTTAATTTTTGGTTCAGATTGTGTTTTTTGATTGATTTTTGGTTGAGATTGTGTTTTTGATTGATTATGTTTAATGGGTAGTTATGTTTTTTTTTTTGGATGAAATGATTTTAGTGGGTTTTGAGTTGTTTGTTTTACTCTTTAATGATCTAATTAGTTATAGAATTTGGGAATTAATTTGATTTTTTTAATGTTATAATTGTTTTGAGGGTTGTGTTTAGCTTAATTGGGGTTGTTAGTTGTCAGATGGAGAATTATTGTTGGTTTGATTGAGTAATTGATCTATTTTTGTGAGTTTTTTTTACTGGATTTTATTGTTGGAAATGGTTGGTAGATGTAAATTATGTGGATTTTATTATTGGTTTGAGCATTGTTGGCTAATCAATGACTAGTGTGAATGGTGTCAATACTCCCGTGGGGAAAAAGGTGTCACCTTTCCCCCCCGCAGGAGGAGACTACGCCCACTGCGGTTCCAGGTTGTTTCTTTGCTGCCTCTGGTCCATCGATTGGCAAAGAAAAGATATAAAATTGGCTTCTTTTGGAAGTTTGCTTTACTTGTTTTTCACTCCCGATTGTTATGTTGCTTTTATTGGTGATATGAATTGGCTTGCTAAGTAATAGAGGGTAGCTTTTGGGGAGAATATGGTGGGATGTCATTTGAGTAGCAAAGACAATAAATTTTATTATATGTATATTAGGCATACAAAATCCTAAGTCAATGTTTTAAGTTCCGTAACTGTATCATGTCTGATATCAGCATCTGATTGAGTGTTCATCTATATAGATGAGCTTAACAGTTTCTATGTACCGTTGAATCTACAGTTGCTGCCATTTTCATGGAGATGAACATCAAAACATGTGTCATATTTTGTGATCTTTGTTAATAGTTGCCGAACTATGCTACCACAAGTGATTTACTTGTTTAGTATTAATGTTGAACCTTTACGTGCTCTTTTCTAAAAGAAGTTTTTATTTAACATAATAATTTGGATGTCCCAAAAGTTTAGAGTTTAAATATATGTATGAAGTAGTTGAAATTGTCTTCTTTTTTTTGTCCCCACTTCCATAGTATATTCATTCGGAATAGAGGAAGAGTGTTATGGTTGTCTACTCCCACCATTTCTTATTAGTTGAACATCTAACTTTTCTTATTTCATAATATTTTTAACTTAAACACCAATGCATTATTACTCGTTAAATTGAAATATTAATGCAAATTATGCAATACAACTACCCCGATATGTGAGCATACCTGAAATAAATGTATTAAGGTATAAAGGAGGAATCTTGCAGCTTGCCATTTTATTAACATAACATGTGCCTACTTCAAAAGTGGTTATGGGCTTGGTGATTACAACTACCAACCTTAATATTATCTAAGTGGAGGGTGTTGGTGCCCACTAAAGGAATCAATAAAACAGATTGTCTGGATATAAATATGGGATCTTTTTTAAAGCAAAAGGACAATTTCGTTTAAGATTGTGATTTGGAGGTTAACATGGTGTATTATTCAAAAGTAAAGGGGAGGATCCTTCTTAAGTCGTTGTGCTTAAGAATAGGTTTAGATTGCTCGATTAGAAGGAAATCCTTTTCTGAAGGGGATCATTTACAAAAATAGATATATGTGAAATTGTATTGGTCAAGTGGTTCACTAATTCACTTCTACCCCCTACCTCACATAACCTTTATTTGTCAACCACTTCTGAGAAAGATAGGGCGTGCATATTTCACACTATGAAACCCATGTAATTATAGTGGGTAGCTTTATTGGAAGAGAAATATTGGGTTTCAATCATGTATGCATGAGAAACATTGATAATACGTGTATAAATTCAGAAGGCAAGTACTGTTAGAATGATTGTTTCCAACTATAAGCCGGGAACTGTTGTTTTCTCTTTGTCCATATAGGTTTGAAATATGTTTTCAAATTCAAACCCTGTTTGTGAATTTTTCTTTTCATAGAACAGGGCTCTTTTTATGCAAGTAGATGAGGCTCGAGTTACTACAATTTCCTCGTCTTTTCTAGTCTAGGATTATCGGGTTTGCTCATTCCTGGGATAATGTTGAGTCAACAGCTAATCTGAAATGTTTTGTTATGTGTTTTTTGTGTTTGGCCAAGACAGGTCTAATCCTCTAATATTTGGTCTTCCTTTTTGTAGGGACGAGCATGGATTGTTTTATGCATTAGATCTTGGTGGCACCAACTTCCGAGTGCTTCGAGTGAAGTTGGGTGGCAAAGAACATCGTGTTGTCCAACAAGAATTTGACGAAGTATCAATTCCGCCTGAGTTGATGGTTGGGACATCAGAAGTAAGTTGATTTAGCTCATACATAAACTATTTAACCATTCCTTTCTTGATTTCTTTCTAAAGTTTGAAAAATGTGGTGATTTCAGCAACTGTTTGACTACATAGCTGAGGCCCTTGCTAAATTTGTTGCAACGGAAGGTGAAGGCCTACATCCTGAACCCAATAAGCAGAGAGAGTTGGGATTTACCTTCTCTTTCCCAGTAAAGCAGACATCGATTGCATCAGGGACCCTTATAAGATGGACCAAGGGTTTTAAAATAGAAGATGCGGTTAGTCTCTCTCTCTCTCTCTCTCTCTCTCTCTCTCTCTCTCTCTCTCTCTCTCTCTCATATGCTTTCCAATATGAAAGTCAGAAGACATGATCTATGCTGCTATACACTATTTCTACATCATAATGATCATCATCATTAACTTCTTTTCAATACCTGCATTCATGATCGGTTGCTGAAAATTATCCCCAAATCCTCTATAAGCTAATTGGAGGTAAACGTTCAACTTGTGAATTAACTTAGACTAGCAATTGGAGGACTCTTTAAAGTGGGGTAAACGAAGCTAAACATCAGTTAGCGCGGAGAGAGTATAGAGTGTTGCTATGTTCAGATTTCTGGTTTCAGTTGATTTATTTTTGACTGCTAAACATCATTGGGTCAACTAGGGTAAGATTAATACACTACACTAACTCCTTTCTGCAAGCAAATATCTTAGGCACTTATATGTTTGAGAACTGCTGCTGTTGAGGATATTGCGTACTTTTTTTTTTGAGTTCAACTGGATTATACGCAAATGATCTGTGATTTTTAAGTTCATCACCCTACTTGAGTTGCAAGAATGTATTTATTGATTCGTCATGGTTGCTTATTTGTTCTTCCTGGGGGATATCACATAGGTTGGTGAAGATGTGGTGGCAGAATTAACCAAGGCCATGCAAAGAAAGGGTGTAGATATGCGTGTGACAGCTTTGGTAAGTTTTCAGCTTGATATTTTCCTTGATTTTTAAAGTACGTTTTACACTGCCATCTGACAAACCTTTGTATTTACATCCTCCTCTTTCTAAACGTACTGTATATTTGTGACCTTTTTACCTTCTATTATGGTTTAGGTCAATGATACAGTTGGAACCTTAGCTGGAGGTAGATACCATAAAGAAGATGTAATTGCTGCTGTTATATTGGGTACTGGAACAAATGCAGCTTATGTTGAACGTGCTAGTGCAATTCCCAAGTGGCATGGCTCTTTGCCCAAATCAGGGGAGATGGTAAGCCTTTTCTGCTTTCCTCAACTGTTATTTTTTTCAACATTTAAATTTATCTTCTTTTTCTGGCTGTCTTCTGTTCATCTCTCTTGGCTCATATTCCTCGCACAAGGAGTTGCTAGATACTTCTGCGTGATTCACAACTCTAAATTTTCAGGCATATTGTTTTATTTTGTCTTTAGGTTATTAACATGGAGTGGGGCAATTTCCGTTCATCACATTTACCTTTGACCGAATATGACATAGCACTAGATGAAGAAAGTTTGAATCCTGGTGAACAGGTGAGATTTCTGTAGTTTTCCTTTCATTTTGTCCCTGACCTTTTAACTTACCAACTGCAAACAATAACCATTATCTTTGAGTCTGACAGATATATGAGAAATTGATTTCTGGAATGTACTTGGGTGAGATTGTGCGAAGAGTCTTGTATAGGATGGCGGATGAGGCCGGCCTTTTTGGTGATACAGTCCCACCAAAATTGAATACTCCATTCATCTTAAGGTACATTTTCTAGTCGTGTGTTGGGTTTAGTACGGAGTATCACTTAATATGTGCTTGTTGATGGATTAAATAAGTTACTATGTAGATTTGGTATGTGTTTGGCACCCAGCAATTTAGTTTTTGCTCAATAGCCATTATAGTGACTGCTCAGCTACCAAACATCAATATTAGTACCTTTCAATATTTGAAAGTTTATCAAATCTTCTTACTTTGTAGCACAAAACTCTAGACTTCAATCAATTATCTTTAGGGAACAAAGTAGCTCATGAGTTCTGACTTCAACAATTTTACATCAACTTTTGTGCTTAAAAAGCAAGAGAAACTCTCAAAAGAAACAATCCATTCCTCATTTGTTCTGCCTATGTGATAACACTATAACAGATTACATGATAATCTGGCTTGTCAAATTTCATTGATGCTGTATGACCTTGGCTGCTCCCCCACCAACTCTTCCTTGTTTGATCCTGATTCTTCCTAGTGATTGTAATTTCACTAACTTGGGCATCTTCACATTTGTAAGATCTTAGCGGAGAAGAAAACAAATATTGTATTTGTACTAACATGCTCCCCACCAAATTGCTCCAACTTTAAAAATGATGAAATAAAGGAGACATACATGTATAATTTAACTTACATCTGCCACAATTAAAAATCTAATTTATAGCGACTTTTTAACTGTATATTGTCATCATGAAGCAATTTTGTTATCGTTGTTGTTGACAAGAAATTATCTCATATGTTTGAATCATTATTAATTTTATTATTTTGGCAGGACACCAGACATGTCTGCCATGCATCATGATACATCCCCTGATCTTAAAGTTGTTGCAAGCAAACTGAAGGACGTCCTAGGGGTAATGCACTTTGGCCACTGCTTGCATCTCCTTGACCATTTTAGCATTGTTCTTTTTATTTGCTTGGAAATGTCCCTGTCCTTGAGTTTGTTTGTGCTGAAGATGTCAATATTGAATTTAAAAATAAAATAAAAATGTTATGGATCCACTGAATGCCTTGGTGGTGCTTGTCTAAATATTTAGTCATAATTGCTGAGAATTGAAAGTTGCTAATATGCTAGTAATGCTGCACGCCATAATATGATGCTTCTTCTTCTTCTTCTTCTTCTTCCATCACAGATACCAAGTTCATCATTGAAGGTGAGAAAGATTGTAGTTGATGTTTGTGACGTCATTGCTTCTCGCGGGGCCTGCCTTTCTGCAGCTGGGATTTTGGGCATTATTAAGAAACTAGGGAGAGACACATTGAAGCAAGGTGAAAATCAGAAGTCTGTTGTTGCATTAGACGGAGGGTTGTTTGAGCACTACGCCAAATTCCGGGAGTGCATGGAAGACTCTTTGAAGGAGCTGCTAGGTGATGAAGTCGCTGAAACCATTGTAATTGAGCACTCAAATGATGGATCAGGCATTGGGGCTGCCCTTCTGGCAGCGTCCCATTCCCAATACCTTGAGGAGGAATAAGAGTGTTGATGGGGCAGCTTTTAGGTACTAAGAAATGCCACAAATGATCTTATATACTCAATTTTGTACAACTTTTGCTTCTTAATACTTTCTCAAGCTCTTAGATCTTAGAGATCGTGGCAATTTGTTTTTTTAGACTTTGCTGCCCCTGTGAAGAATAAAATCTGGCAAAATGGGCTCTGCTTGCTGCATGAAAAAAATGGCATGAAGCTCACTGTTCTGCCCTTTTCTAAGGGTTGTACATTTCAAATCCGGGTCAAGTGTTGCTTTTTTCGAGAATCGGCCTGAAAATGTCGTCCTGGCTATAGTGCAAAGAGGGGCAAATAAGATCTGTGTCATTTTTCTCTGTAGCTGCAATTCAGCAGGAAACTTTTCTTGCTCCGAATTGATATTTGTTAGTTTTAATTAGCTTTGTCAAAGCTCTATAGAGTTGAGCTTTGATCATATTTACTCATTATCACTTGTTTAAAACCTGTACTAATGTGCAGGTGTCGAAAATTTAAGTGCAATAAAAAAGAAATTGATGATTATTATTGGAGCCTTTTTACTTACCACTGAGTCACTGACTGATCAAATGGAAATCGATATTGACAGCAAAAGTAAAGAACGATTTTTTTTATTTTTTTTTCCTTTGAAAGAAGATTATCAATTCATTAATTAGAAGACATCAAGTCCAAAAGTACATAGGGGGGATTTCGCTCGGGCAATGATTCATCCAAATCTGTTCAACTCCAAACGGTGCTAATCTCGCTAGGTGGTGAGCAACAAAATTACCCTCCCTTCTAACATGTGACCAAGAAATAAAAGAAAACAAGAACTAAGGCTTAAGACATCATCTAGTGTATTATCCAGATCAGTAAAGAAGGTGGAAGCTTTCTCTAGTCGATTCATAACAACTTGACAGCCCGACTTCACTATGATTTCCTCGAGTTCATATGGGTTTGCAAAGCCTGATTCCAAAGAGTATTGCCATACATTCTGCAATGTCAGGAGACCACTCACCACGAACTCTTCTAGTTCCAGAAAAAAATCAAAAATAACATTACCAAGAGCATCTCTTGCCACTGCACCAAGCCCCACCCAACCTCCCTCAATAATCACAGCATCGCAATTGATTAGGCGGCGCCGCCGCCTCTTAGGATTTCTCTTCTTCACGCTCTGCTTCTTCCCATCGATTTTAGTAGTGTACGAATTATAATCAGCCACCTACCTTTGAGCTCTGTCAATTATCACATAATACGGAGTAATCTTGCTGTCAACTTGACAGTAAGAAAATAAGTGTATAACAAATCATCATATAAAAATAAGCAAAAATTGAAAGATATGAATTGCAAATTAAAAAACAAACCCAAATGTGATTGCATTGCATAACACCAATTCATCCATACATAATTATTAATTACATACAGCCATTATTCACCACACCTCAAAGCACGGGTGCATTCTAATTACATCGAACCTCTCTAATTACTCGACCCAGACCCCAAACCCGAACTCGAGTCCAACGACACATTATTAAGCCGCTCAAGAGCCAAAACAAGAGCCTGAGTACCCAACCCACCTTCCCCATGAGCCTTAAGTGACAAATACAATTGATGAGCTAACCCTAACCCAGGCAAACTAATCCCCATTTTCTCACACTCTTTAACACAAATCCCTAAATCCTTAACAAAATGATCAACATAAAACCCAGCTTCAAAATCCCTCTTCAAAATCCTCCCACCATACAATTCCAGACTCTTCGAACCAGCCGCGCCTTTCGATATCGCCTCCAAGAACAACGGTAAATCCAGCTTCGCCTTATGCGCGTAAATCATCCCTTCGATCAATCCCACCATTGTTGACGCAATCGTAATCTGGTTCGCTAACTTCGCCGATTGCCCTTTTCCGGGCCCACCCATGTAGTATGTTGACCCCATGAGAGAGAAAAGAGGAGAGAGAGAGTCGACGATTTCTGGGTCGCCTCCGGCGAAGATGGAGAGAGTTCCGGCGCGTGCGCCACGGTCGCCGCCGGAGACTGGAGCGTCGACGGAGGAGCAAGATTTAGCGATGGCGGAAGAGGAGATTTCGACGGCGAGAGTGGGGTCGGAGGTTGTCATGTCAACGAGGACACCGCCTGGTCGTAGGAGAGAGAGGACGTCGGAGGTGACGGATTTGACGTCGGAAGGGAAGCCGACGATGGTGAAAACGACGTCGGATTGAGCGGCGACTTCGGCGGGGGAGGTGGCTAAGTGGGCCCCTTGGTCCTGTAAAGGTTGGGCTTTGGAGATGGTTCGGTTGAAGACGGTGAGTTTGTAGCCCGCTTTGAGGATGTGGGCGCACATGGATCGGCCCATTACGCCGGTTCCGATCCAGCCCACTTTGGTGGTGGAAGGGGAAACGGGTTCGGGTTTGGGTTGTGTTGACATGGGGTGGGTTTGGAGGAGAGAGAAAGTTGAAGGTGGTGTTGTAGTGTTGAGGAGGGTGTGTTTGTGGAGGAGAGAGAATGAGTTGAGTAAGTATGACCACCGCATTTAGGATTTCAATTGATTATATTTTATCTTGTGTTTTGAGGGTCTTATTTCTTGCTTTCTTTGGCCACATAAACTTATTTTACGACTCTTTCCGTAAAAACGTTGGTTTAATTTTTTGACATCAACCCTAGTCATTTACTGATTTGGGTACTAATTATGAAAAATTTCTCACATACGACCTATGATTAACTTTGTAATGTTATTCTTATGTCTATTGACAATCTCTAAATTAGTTTTGTTGGTCAATGTGAATTACATCTACGAAATAGCTCAAGTGGTTAGATCTCCCCTCCCAATTTCAAGAGATTTTGGGATCGATTCTCCAACACCCTCTCTAAATACAAAAAAAAAAAAAAAAAAAAAAAAAAAACCCGAAGTATTAGTTACTTTCAAAACCAAAAAAAAAAAAAATATTAGCATTGTACAAAATTGACCCATCCTTGTGACTCTCTAAACACACACAAAAAAAAAATCTAAACACACACAAAAAAAAAAAAAAAACCCGAAGTATTAGTTACTTTCAAAACAAAAAAAAAAAAAAAAATATATATATATATATATATATTGGCGTTGTACAAAATTGGAAAGTAGAGGCAAATTATAGTACCATTAGTCCATTACAGTTTTTTTAAGATGACTTTTGAGTGGCCACAATAAATTGTACTCCGTATTAAATTAAATCATAATTGTTTATTTCTATTAACTAATTTGAACCGTTGTTATGTTTTTTTAAGAAAATAAATTTGTTTTGACCAAATAGTAAGAATTACTAGTAGTTAAAGGATAAAGATTTGTTGATTGCCAATGCATCGCATTGTGGCAATTTCGCTAGTTTAATGGGAAAAAACTGAGTAAAGCAAAGGGTGGATTTAATTTTATTTTTTTTAAAAAAAAATCATATTAAAAGTTGACATTAATCAATAAAATTGAACGGTTGTGATTTGATTTAATACAATGTATTGTGGCCATTTGAAAACTATTCCATTGTCAAGATCTCACTTGTATTTAAAAATTAGGCATAGGACATAATACTCTAATCTTCAACCTCCAAGTCCTTAATTAATCCCTTCTTCCTTTTTCCCACTACCAAACCACGTCCGGAAAATTTCTGACAACGAACCGGACTCCTCTACTTGAACCGTAACCGGAACGAGTTCCACCTTTTTAGCAATATCTAACCTTGATGACAGACGACGGCGTTCATAATTCATAAAAAAAACCCTTCTGCAAGTGCCATCAATACCCCAGTGCTGATGACACCTATCATGAAATCGATAGGACCGGACACTTGACGAAGGGTGAATACCGCTTTAGTTGAAGCCTCGACGATGATGGAGTTCCACGGGTCTTCCTTACGACGGAGGTGGGCAGCAGCGCGCGGTAAGCAGCAGTAAAGAGGGACACCCACACCGCAAAAGACCCTGCTGATCGGGGAGCATGCAAGCGGATGTAGCCAACCTCCCCAATGATGCGGGACCCCCTTAGCATGGTAGATATCCCCTTGAACAAGTGGAAGGGGACGTTGCCTAGTCCGCCTATCGCGAAACCCATGCCGGTTTCTTGGAGGATTCTGTCGGTGTACTTAGGTGGTCTTTCATAGGATGCCATGATCAAATTCAAGAATTCAACAAAAATTAAGGTGATTTAAGAGTTTTTAGGGGTTTTTTGTGTTTATAAATAAGAGTTGTTACTTGGTGCGGAGGAAAACTGTTAGGTTTTACAGTAATTCAACAACAAGAACTACTTAAAAATGTGGGAACAAAACCTAGATGAAGTATAATTCAAATCAAATTATACAATAACCAAGTACTAATTAAAGTATTACAAACCAAGCACCAAAATCAAATTATTCAGAAATTGCAATGAAAAACACTAATGTGAAGAAAACTAAACTTGCCTCAACTCCAAGCCTTGAAAGATGAACATGAACATGAGAATATTGATGACCGCTTGAGTCTCAATCCTTGATACTCTGCCTTAGGCGTGTACACACTTTTCTAAAGAGGTTAATTTCCCCCACAACGGTGCTTGGGTTCAATCCGGAAATCCTCTTTGAGATACAAAAGACAGCAATTCGTTCTTTGCACTAGGAAACGAAATAAAGATGACAAATTCACCAAGATTGGATTAATTGAAAGAGTTTTTCTCACAAAAGTTTGCAAGAAATTTGAGAGAAAATGTGGAGAATACTTTTTGGAGAGATGAAGAATTAACTTCTGTATCTTTTCTTTCACGAAAATATGTCTTTTAATAAAAGACTCAACCGTCAGGAAAAACCGCAAAACAAGGAGGAGCGGGCGCATCACTTTTCAGCGCGGGCGCGCCTCCCAATATTTGCGAGATTCCACAAGAAGGCAGTGAGGGGCGCGGTTTAGGCGCGACCAGCAGCGCGGGCGCTCCACCAGGACGCGCGGGCGTGCCACCAGCCGCGCGGGCGCGCCAACCACACCCTTCTAATTTGCTGATTTCCAGAGAGGTGCGCGGTTTAGGCGCACTCTCTGCTCGGCCGCGCCTACTTTGCGCGGCGTTCTTCATGGGCGCGAGCGCGCAACCATCAACACTCTAAATATCCAACAAAAACTCCAATCCTTAACTATTTGTTGATTTGTTCTAAGTGATTTAGAAAACAAAATACTACCTATAACTTAGGGGACAAAGTATCCCAAGGATAAAATTTTGTTTATTTACTACCTTGCTATATGATTTTAAAATTTTAATCATTAACTTCTTTAATTAGGGGTACAATTTCAATTATCAAAATAATACTCCAAAGTAATTTACAAAATTAGGGGATCGAAACTAATATAATAAAATTTAATATGACGATGTTATGGCCCATGACCTTTCTAATAAAAGTATTACTTCCTCCATTTATATTTACTTGACCCATAGAGTTTGACACAATATTTAAGGAGATGGGAGAGAAATTGCCAAGTTAAGAGTAATAATCTTCAATATGATAATCTCCATTTAAAAAATAAATATGCTAATCTAACTTTCACTATAATAAAAAAAATAAAATTATTTGAAGGTTACCTCATCAGAATAAATACAGACTATATTAATTCGACTAAAAGATAATGTAGTACAAACATAAAGAGGTAATTAAGCCGGGATGGAATCAATTATGTTGTCCATATTACTAGCAAATAAGTTCAAAAAGACTTCGTGAATTTTGCTCAACCCGTAACATTTAAGATTCAAGTGTAAAACAGAAATACTAACTATTCATTCATTACTTTTGGAAAAAAAAAATTACAAAATATATCATCACTTGAATCTAACAAATTAAATCCCTTAGATAATAAAATTTCTTCATAAACTACCTAATAACAATTGTTTTCTTTATACTAGTTATGATTAATTACAAATTTATCCAAGAACCAAGTTACATAAACTACCTTGTCTTCCAAATAACAAAAGTTTTCTTTATACTAGTTATGATAATTACAAATTTAACCAAGAAACAAGTTAATTAACATACTAATTGGTGAATCTAAGATGTTATTAAGCGTCAAAACAATATAAAGTAAACAAAGTCCTCTACATAACCTCATAAACCAAATTTTGGATTAAGAACTAAATTAAATTTCCACATCAAAAATTAGACATCGGAGTACTCAAATCATCGACCTTCAAGTATGTAATTAATTCCGTCGTCTTTTTTCCCATTACCAAACCATGTCTGAAAAAACCCTGATGACGAACCAGCCTCCTCCTGAACGGGAAGTGGAACCGGAACCGGAACCGGAAGTGGAACTTGTCCCTTATTAGCATTATTCAACTTTGTCGACAGTTTTTCATCAAACAGCATAAGCCCTACTCCAAGCCCCATTAATAACCCAGTACTGACGACAGCTTTCATGACAGGGGCAGACCCTTGACGAAGAGCGAGTATCGCGCTAGCCGAAGCCCCGGCAATGATGGTGTTCCACGGGTCTTCCTTACGACGGAGGTGGGCAGCAGCGCAGTCAACAGCACTGAAGAGGGACATCCACACCGCGAAAGACCCTGCTGTTCGGGGAGCACGCATGCGGACGTAGTCCACACCGCCACTGATGCGGGAGCCCTTTGGCATTGTACATACCCCCTTCAACAAGTGGTAGGGGATGCTGCCTAGGGCGCCTATCGCGAAACCGGTGCCGGTTTCTTGGAGAATTCTGTCACTGAAGTTGGGTGGTTGATCATAAGCTGCCATGATCAAATTCAAGAATTCAACAAAATTTAAGATATTCAGAGTTAGGGAGGCTACAGTATTATGAGAGGTTTTTGTTATATATTTATAATCAGATATGTTACTTGGACCGGAGGAAAACTACTTAACTATTTGTTGATTTGCTTTAAATTTCTCATGATTTAGGTAACAAAATAATTAAATTTAGGAAAGAAAGTACTTTTTTCTCCCAAGGATAAAATTTTGTTTATTTAGACCGCCTCACTCTATGATTTATATCATTACCTATTTTAATTACACGATAATAAAAATTAAAAAAAATCCAAAATCATTTAACAACGTATAGGATTGTGACGAATGTAATAAGACCCTATTAGACGATATTCTAGCCCATAACTTTTCTAATAAATGCTTAGGCCCATGGATAAGTAACATATATTCCAAGTAATTTAGGTCCTTCTCCTTACCGTAAATAAAAAAACAATTTCAAAAAATATTTATTAAAAAAAGGTCATAGATTTTAATCTTAGGTTTTCTCATCAGGATTTACACGTCCAACTTAAGACTGGTAAGTACTTCATGTAGCACAAGTGCACAAGCAACACTTTATGCTGCAACATAAAAACTACAAATTATTATGCTACTATAAAGAGGAAATTAAGCCAGGAATCAATTAATAGCCTTACTTCCAAATAAGTTCAAAAAAAACCTTCTCTAGTTACCAAGTCTTATAGACCGACCTTAATGTGGTGTAAAATTGCAAAAGCAAAGGAAAGCCAAGTACTTTGTGCTCAACTCGGTACATCCAAGTGTAAAACAGAACTTGCAGCATTGCAAGGCTTTATTAAGTTTATGTCAATCAACAATCGATGCAAAAGAACTCTCACGGTAGCAAGGCAATACTGATCAGACTGCACTGCTACAGCATCCTTGGCAATACTGATCAGACTGCACTGCTACAGCATCAGTATGTCAGATACTTCGTATAACTCAGTAGGGAAAACTAGACCGTTTCAGGAAAGCTAGAAACGTGAAAGAAATGTGCAGCACAAAGTCGATACAATAAAAAATGTAGATGTGCCACAATGGTAGTAGTAAAAACAGATGGTTATTACCATCTGATTGAGGTTTCACCATCCACAGTTAAACGAATAAGAGCTTAAACGAAGCCAAGTACCAGGTTACATAAATATCGGCTACTCTAAACTACTAATACTACGTAGCACACATTTATAAATTCAAGATATAGTACTCGTCTACATATACAAGCTCCTGGCTGAATTTCCTTTCCAACCAAACTAAATTAATGAAAAGAGCCCCAGTAGTGTAGAATCCTTCCACCACATAAAATTTATACCACAAAAGAAAACGTATGTCAAAATCCTCTTGCGATGCTTATTGCTGAAGCAGTTAGAAGTTCCTGGGAATAATCGTAACCAGCTATGATGAAACCTGAATATCAATAAACATACACACAATTAAGAATAAAAGAGAACAACAATTTCATCATGACAGAAGATGGAGGTCCTAACCCACCCTGATTCGAAACTCATTGCTAATCAATTTCATGCCTTACACATCCAGAGAGCGATTATAAACATCAGAAAATAGCAATCATAAAATGACACAAACAGGGCACAAAATCATTTTCACAACTATCTCAAATAACCCTCACTGCAGATAACATGTCTGTCACAGAAAAAGGCAAGCTATTTGCTACTAGGGCGTTTGATGCGGCCAAAAACACATGTACAGGTTCTTGGCAAGTTGGCATACCCTGTGCTATCTTAGGGAAGCTGCCAGATGCATGCTTATTATATGTTTCAGGAGTATGCCCATGAAGCTGCCAGATGCATGCTTATTATATGTTTCAGAAGTATGCCCATCTATTCTTTAATTCTATATAGTATGCCACTACTCTCGGAGTTTGTCCTACAGTATTAAAAAAAGATGGAGCAGATGTTGCTCCCTGAATGGAGTCAAATTTGCAAACCACTAAAAAAGGACACAAATTTAGGCAGCTGAAAGTTCATTTCATGAGCGTAAGGGAAGGTAAAGCAGATAAAAGACACACAGAAACTCAAGAGAGTGAAAATAATGGAGGTGAGGCTGTGAGGGAAAGGGCTCATCCATGCTATTGTAAGATTAAAAGACATGAAAGCGTTCTGTTCAAAACAGGCAAGAGGAACACTGCAGAAAAAGTACAAGGTTCCAGCTCCTAAAAGTTTACAAATACTAAAACCAACGGGCATAGATCAAACAATATACGGCAGTTACGATATCCTTTACTCTAAGACAGGTTTAGGACCAATTACAAATGGTATTTTGTAATAGACTGGAAATTCCGAATATTGATATGAGAATGAAAAGTGGGAATTAGGAAAAACAATAGTCTATTGAAATCATTGAATTGGAATTTACATATGATACCAGCATAGAATGGCTGTAACTTCAAAAAAGCAAAGTTAAATAAATCAAAGAAAAATAGAACTCTCATCCATTTTCATCATCTATCCTGTCTCCCCATACTTATCTCGTGATTCATAGCCTTTTAAATCTAACTTACTTATCTTCCTCGAGGTACTAGTCATATTTCACTACCTACTTTAATGCTGCTTCCCAAATATCTGATGCATTATATATTCCCTATAAGCATAAGAAACAGAACTTCTTGAACCATTGTCCAAGATAATAAATAATCTCTCATCGTGCAATTCAAAAAAGGATAACCTATTAGACTCCCTGTCACATCAACTAATTTGAGAAAGATAAGGTAGAAGTTCTATCCTTGGCCCTTGCACCATTTGAAATCATCAATCATTTAAACCTAATCAAATCCAATAAATTTGCAAAATTCAAGCTAGAATATCTCCCTTGCATTAATTCCACCAAGATAGTATAAAACTGGAATCACGAGATTCTTTTATCCCAAATCAATGAAAGTGCACATACATACTATCACAATATTCATTAAAAATCCATTTTAGCACTCCCTTCAAAACTTATTTCAAACAAATTGTATTAAAAAGAAATATATTTACTACCCCAAAGAGAGATGAATTTAGCAAAAATACCTCTTGCTAACAGATATAAAAGTATTAAACAAATCCATCAAACCACCCTATAGCATGAAGGCTTCATAACTCCACATTGACATACTCGAAAGTTGAAATCCCTAGTCCGACTGGCCCATCATATACAATGATAAACAAAACAAAGATTCACAACCATAGCAGGCTTAATTAGCTATTACAAACACTAATTCAACATAATGCAATCATTCAAACCTAAACTTCCTTCAGTTTTTTAATTGGTCCACTTTCCCCTTTGGGTTATTTAGATATTGTAGTTCCAATTTTCCCATTTAGTTAAATTTAATGTCCAAATTACACACAGGCCCTTACCTTTTGCATTTTTTTCATACTTTTTGGCTCCCAAAGTTTTGCCTCTCTTTCTCAAAAATTTTGACGTATCACAGTCTTTTTTATAATAAACTACCCTAGTACCACCACCCTTAAATCATGTACCAATAGCAAATATAACTTAAAAAAACCAAGTATCTTCTTGCACTGATGTGTTCTACACACTCAAATCAAACGATCATAAAATTTTAACCTTTGAGATCCTAGATCATCAACATCCTACATGTAGGCTAGATACTCCCACTCCCTAATCAGCATTTCCATCAAATTCACTAGGCTCATTGGCTCAAAACAGTCTCACAAGGCTACAAATGCAAAGCTTAACTCAATGAGAAAAGCATACTCAGCCTAACAACATGATTCTTGTCCCGAGACACACCACCCTAGGTCCCGAGACCCATTATTTCCTTCAAAACCACGATTCCAGATTTTCAGCAAAAAAAAAAAGCGACCCATTAATGTGCCATGATCTTCAGAAAAATATATTTTTAAAGCAAGGCCTCAAATTATCAAAAAAAGAATAAATATACTTCTAAACTCCTAGACAAACACATGTATTATCACTTGTCTTAATCTCTCATCCCAAAGGCAACAAAAAATCCCACAACCACCACCCGAAAAAAAACAATAGGCTACATAGCCGAAGTACAAAGGACCCAAATGTAGCTAGGTAATATAGTTTGATGTGTGGCACAGAGATATATGGCGCGAAGGAAGTTGAGAACAGTGGCATCTAGGAATAATAACCAATTTATACTTTCATGTTGAAATGGAGAGTAACAAAGACTTTATATGAACACAAAACAGTAAAGTCACTTACCCAAATGGCAAAGGGATATTTTAAAACATATGGGGAAAAAAAAAGGCTCTTGAGATATGATGAGTGTACAAATTGGAAGTAGTAACAGTAGAGTGAGGAGAATATGATACAACACGAAGACAGAAAATGGTTTTCCATGTTAACAGAAGAAAATCCAGAGTTTTTAAAGAAAGGGTAGATATTTTCGCCAGTCTCTCTATCTTCACTATCTCTTAATATAGATCACCCATTTTAGCATTCTATTTAAGCAGGCAACATCCAAAATCTGGTAATGACTTTTGGATCTTATCAGCAAATTTAATTTTTCTGCAGAAATATAAAAATTACTACAATAATTGTTCGGCAAAGAAAACGTTGAGAACGAACAAACTGCCAAGTTCATATTCAAGGAAAGGCAATGTTCTAGACTTCTAGAAAAGTTTTCATCAAAAATATACCACATTTGAGCAATAAGACAAGTGATTTTTTTCAATAAATAAATAATTATATATAATGAAAAAAAAAAAGAAGGTCCAATAGTGGTTTTTTCATGATAAACATTAAACAAGGGCTGAAAATTAAAAACCTTCTCAAATTCTCAGGCTTAATAGAACTACAAACTACTCGTAATTCACAAAAATTTAAACATTCAAGGTTTCAAACTTAACTCTAACTATGCGGTTCAATTATCCTGTCTCCCTGAAATTGTAAATCTACACTCATTTCAGGAGGGAAAAAAAAGCATTAAAAATTCCACCTTCAACATCCTACTCATTCTAACATCAACATTCAGCAAGCAGCCAGACATTTCCACTCCCTTACCACCATTATATATCCTTGAGTGGTTGAGGAACTGAAACAACGCACATTATTGTAACAAACATCAAAGTCCATTTTTTACCTAGAAGATCAAAACTATAGAAATTACATAACATGATTAAGGCACCCACTACAGTGTCACTATTGCCATAAAAAACAGAACCCAGAAATCCAAACAATATCAAGCCTAGAGAGATGACATATTAATAAAGATGATCTTTCACCCCAGAGATATATAAAATCCCAAAATAAAAATCACGCTTTGCAGCCGCAGAACATCAAAATATCAAAAACTCCGAAGTCAATCGACATACTAAAAAATCCCTATTCCCTACTCCTTTCGCATTGAACCTAATGATGATGAAAGACGAAGATGATTCACTAAAGTTTTAATAGTTGAACCTAAACTAACTTGCATCAAATCCTTATATTCTAGCCTTAAGGCAATAATCACACTCCATAGCCCTTGAGCATGTTGGGCATAGCCACTCCCGTCACCATTCACACATATAAAAACAAGCCAAATCAACATCACACCAATCTTCAAATAATCCAAAATGGTAGTTATGGAGATCGACATTATAATTATGCTTGCTTGAACGCCTCAATCCCATAAGTGGATACATGAACCAACACGAGGACTTCCTAAGAGATCACCCATCCTAATACTACACTCAATCATTGTGGCTCATGTCATGTGATGTGACAGTTTTACACTGACATGTCACTAACCTCCCATGACCCTCCTCTTTCATTGACATTGTAATTATAAAAAACATAAATATAAAAAATAAAAGAGTAATGTTATATATAGCCCTTAGGGCTATGTTTAAGACATTATTTTACTTCCTAAAATGGAAATAATTTGTGAATTCATGACAAAAACTACACGCAAATAAATGTAATCAATGCTTAATTTTATCAAATATTAACTCTTTTGGCTCCTTATTCATAGCCCTTAGGGCTATGTTTATCATTTTCCAAAATAAAAATACACTCCTCTGCCCGTTGGGTTGTAAATCTACACGCATTCATTTAAGAAAATCATAAATGATTCCACCTTTAAGCATCAAAGAACATTAACATCCCATAATCAGCCAGAAACTCCCACTCCCTTACCAGCATTATTTGTGCGGTTGAACTGAAACACCCACAGAATATCGTAACAAGCATCCAATTTCATCCTATTCCTAGATGATCAAAATTATAGAAATTCCACAACATTAACTAGTCACCCACTAATCCACTACTGTGCCACCTTTGCCATCAAAAACAGATCCCAAACATCAAACAATTTCCGGCCTCACGTCATCATCATAAAGAGGAAACTCAAACCCCAAAAACAACATTAAAAATTAACTAATTTACTAATGCATCCCATTTCATTCTGCAGTCTTACTGCAATTTCAGATGCTTCTCTGAGTGGAAACCAGCTCACAGGAAAAATCCCTGACCAAATTGGTGGCCTGAAATCACTTACTAGTCTTTCCCTTTAATAAGCATCTTACAGGTCAAATTCCTGAGTCTCTTGCTAGTTTAAAGAACTTATGGTACCTGAATTTATCAAGCAATATACTCCAAAATCCTTTGCAAACTTCATTTGTCAAAGATTTTGGATTGCCTTTTTTGCTGTCAATTGATTTGTCCTACAACAGACTTAGTCTAGGGACAGTTCCTAATTGGATTAGAAACAGAAAACTTTCTGCTGTTCATTTAGCAAGCTGTGATCTTAAAGGGATTCTCCTACCTTCATTACACCTACCTCTTTATCCTCTATTGATTTCTCCAACAATCATTTCATAGGTGGTATATCTGCTTTCTTAGCACACACACACACATATAAACCAACACACAGGTGTCACGTCATAACTACTCGAAAAGTCCGTTCTAGTTCAAACAGATTTATATTACAAAACCTAAAGTCAAAATGCATTCCTGAAAAAGTAATAATGCACCATTTTACATTTAAATTCCCAATATAGATCACCAACAAAGACAAAACAGTGAGCAATGCTCAAATTTTCTTAAGCAATGTACACTAGACAAGCAATCATCTAAGCAGGGCCAGCATATAAGGCAGAAGCAGCGGGAGGCTTACAAGCTCAAAAAAATAATTACGCACACCTAATCCAATCCAAGAAGTTCAAACAAATAATTACACAACAACATACAAAAAAAAACCATCAAACACTATTCCTCAAATTCTAAAGTCACAAATTACACATTCTCATCAATCACACACTGTAAAAATTTCACCTTGATGTAACTAATACAAAAATGATTCACAATTGACACAAATTCATAACCAAATAAAAAAAATATAACAAACACAAATTCATAAATTAACATACACTAGCAATCATATAGATTATTGTTCTTTCTCCTTACCCTTCAACAAACCATTATGCTCCTCATTTGTAATCAAAATTAGGCATTGGAGTAGGCGTATCAAAGCTCTCCAAAACCGATTCACCCCCACCACTACTCGAACCACTTTCCTCCTTCTTCCCTTCACCACCATCACCAAACCACCCACCAAAAAACCCACCACTTTGACTCCCCTGCTCAGACCCACCAGCACCAGCACCCGTTTGAGCATACCCATAACCCCCCATCTGCGGGGCCCCAGCACCACCACCCATCCCAGCTCCCGCCATGCCCGGATCATCATACATAATCTGCGGCGGCGGCGATAAAACCCGATTAAACATAATCCCAGCACCTTCAATCAAAGCAAGAAGAACCCCACCAAAAGCGGCAGAACGAGCAGATGATCTGAGACCCTGACGCATCTGAAGGAACCCACCAGTGGCAGCTCCGGCGAAGATTGAATTCCAAGGATCTTCCTTTTGACGAATATACACCATACCACAGTCGAAAGTCGAGAATAGACCACCCCAAACGGCGAACCCACCACCAGTTCGAGGTGCGCTCATTCGAACGGTGCTGGCCCCACCAAGAAAGCGCTCACCTTTAGGGGAATTGTAGGCTCCCTTGATGAAATGGAAGACTGAACCTCCGACGGCTCCCATGGCGAAGGCGCCGCCTAAGTCGTCGAGGATTCGGTCGGGACATGGTTCTCGAGATGTTTCTGGTGTTCCCATGGCGGCTGGAGGAGAGAGAAAATTGGTGGGATTTGAGAGAGAGAGAGAGAGGAGAAGAGAAGAGGGGTTTGTGTTTGAGAAAGGGTTTACGATTTGAAGCCTTTTTTGTGTGTGTGACTTTCCCCTTCTTCACGTTTTCTCTCTCGTCACTCGTATCTTGTTAGGCCTTCTTTGGTAAAATTAGTAGTAGTGGGTAGCTTTTAACAGTCAAGTAATAAGTATAGTTGTTAGGGTAACAAGTAGCTATTAATTAGTAATGGATAGAGGTTAACGGTCAAAGTAAGTAGGGGTGAGCAAACCGGGTACCCGAACAAACTTTTAAGAACCGGACCCGAAATTGATTGGGGTTGGGTCCTAAAATTCGGAATTGGAAATGGAACCACTTCAACCGGGTTCTAAAGTTTAGGAATTGGAACCGCCGGGTACCGTTTTCGGTTCCGGTTCCGGATACCCACTTATGTACATAATTTTTAAAATCTATATACGTAGTATATACTTCGTATTAAACTTCGATGGGAAGACATGAGTCCGCCACGTGTCATCATAACTAAGAAGATGATGTATTGTCATGTCATTTCTTGAGCAATTCTTATAAGCCCTATTCAGGTGATTAATCACCACCATTATTCTTTTGATAGATAACTCTCATAACCCCCCATTTAAGAGAATGTTTAAGGTGATTATTCACCTCCCTTGATGCTTAGCATTCTTCTTTTATGTTCTTTCATGTTTCTGTATAAGTAGAAGAAGCATTTTTTTTTTACACTTTAAAAATACATCAAACACAATAGTCTAAACACATTCTCTATTAGGCATAAGTTATTCGACTCGAACCTTCCACCCAAAAGTGTCTTTGTGTGGAAGTGGTGTATTAACCTTAAAGTTCGTGCCGGCAAATACAATTGAGCACCTCGGTTGCACCAGAAATTCGTTTTCAAATCAGTGATTTGCATCACGAGACACCGATATTATTTTATTGTTTGTGAAATTACCTTTTTTATCCTACTTAATTATTTTTATACTGTTTGTACTAGGCTACTTTTAAAACAACAAATGTAACTAATTTAATCTATATTTGTATTTTATCACATAAGTTTTATTATAAAACCTCATTTATAATACACATATAATGACCCAGGGCATTACCCGGGCCAAAAACTAGTTCAATACAAATTATAATACTTATTTTAATGCATTTTCATTTTTAGCATTTAATACTTATATTTATATATGCATGAAGCTACTTTATTTATGTTAGGTATTAATGATATTTTTTTTTATTATTATTTTACTAACTACATACATTCAACATTTTTTTTAATATATTTAGTTTAATATATATATATATATAGAGAGAGAGTAACCGGGTACCCAAACGGTTCCGGGTCCAAAAAATTGAGAATTGGGATTGAAACTGGTTGCAACCAATTCTTTAATTTATTACCCAGAATTGGAACCACCGGGTCCAATTCTGATTCCGTACCCGCCGATTCCGGTTCCAATTTCGAGTACCCGGAATTTTTGTTTACCCCTAAAAGTAACAGTTCATAGTATGATTATTTGACAAAAGTAGCAATTAATACTAAAATATACAGTATTAAAATTCATACAAATATTGTTTGAAAAGTAACAAATTTTGACAAACACTTCTCGCTACCTATAAACGCTACTTGTATAATTTTTAACGTTTGAGAAAAACTACTTAAATACTACCTCTATTGCATATCGCTACTTAAATCGTTACCTTGCCAAACACTTTTACTTTTCAAAAACTTTTGGAAAGTATGGTCAGAGTTACTTGGTTGGGGGTTACTCAGTCAGTCAGAGATTACTCACTTGGTCGGAAGTTACTCGGTCAGTCAGGAGTTACTCGTGTGTTAGTTGGCCACACACAAAATTTGTTGTTTACTTTTTTTCTAGTAATGTTTTAACTAGTCAAAACTCTACCGCCAAACATAACTTTAGTGTTTTTTATTTTATTTTACTTAATTTTCATTACTCTTTAAAATTAAAAAAACCAACGAAAATACGAAACAACAGTCTGCACTCTGCTGGGTCACACAGACACAGCTGAGTAGCTCACACTATCTCCTTGATAACTTCCGGAACCCGGCGAGAAGCAGGAGAAAGTTGGCCTGAACTAGCGCTCTGGCCGCTCTGGCCGGTGTAGCCATTGAATATCAACTAAGCATAGGTATTTTCTTGCGTCTTATTTGTGCTAATTGCTGAATAAATTCATCATAAATTATAATAATTTTGTTGCAAATTACTATCATTATGTACTGTAATTTGTCTAAGAATCAAGCTTTACCTATGGCATTAAGGGTTTCTTCACAACCCAATTCACTTCACACCTCAAAGATTCAATTTTTATCACACGGGGTTTATCCAAAACCCTCTTTAAACCCTAATTGTACAATTTTTGCTGCTCCTCTTTGTGGGTCTTCTCAAAGAGCTCATAACGCGCTTCAATTTCTTAAACCCACAAAAAATCTGTTGAGTTTTGGTAAAATTTGTGTTGAATTTGGATTGCCAAAGTGTGAATTTAGGGGAATTAGGAGTTTATCAAGTTTGAATAGTGCTGCTGAGGATAGTGGTGTGGTTAGAGGTGGAAACTCTCTGCCTTGGTTAGATGATAGTAAAGTGAGGGAGGCGAGGAGGCCGGAGAGGCCTGAGAGAGTTGTGAAAGCGAAAGTTGGAAGTAAATCATCCTGGGAGGTTTCAGCTGAGAAGTTTCTTCAGAAAAGTGGGAGCTCATCAGTTCAGGATGAGAGAAGGAGGAGCAGGCCGGTTGACGTGGCAGAAAACTGGCATAAGCCGCGTTTTGAAAGAAATGATAATGTTGAGGAAAATGGTGATGAGAGGAGGAGGAGCAAGCGGTTTGACGGGGAAAAAAACTGGCAGAAGCCGCACATTGAAAGAAATGACAATGGTGACGAAAATGGCGATGGTGATAATGATGTGATTGATGATTCTAGATGGAATAAGATAAGGATTAGGGCTAGTAGAGTGGTGAATGCTAGAGTGGGTTTTGAGAAGCCAGAGGTGCGAAGGTGGAATAAGCAAGAAAGTTGGGGTAAAAAGACTTTTAAAGAGGCAACTGAGTCGAGTGTTCCGAAGATGGTCGGGGAAGGAGTTTACGGGGTTGGACCAGTTTTGGCCGCTTTAACTGCCGGAAGAAGAGAATTCTATACTCTCTATGTTCAGGAAGGACTAGAGTTGAGTAAGAATAATAAGAAAAAGAAGGATAAGAAGGGTTTTGAAAAGGTGTTGAAGATTGCAGAGAAGATTGGTTTAAGCATTAGAGAGATTTCCAAGCATCATCTCAACATGGTCAGTGATAACCGCCCACATCAAGGTCTTGTGCTAGACGTTTCTCCATTAGAGATGGTGAACATAAAGGAATTGGACCCTGTCTCTGTTGAACAAGACCAGGGTGTTCTTTGGGTAGCTTTAGATGAGGTCACTGATCCCCAGAATTTGGGAGCCATCATCCGATCTTCATATTTCTTTGGAGCATCAGGGGTGGTACTGTGTAGGAAGAATTCAGCTCCTTTGAGTGGTGTGGTGAGCAAAGCCAGTGCTGGTTCACTTGAGCTGATGGAAATTAGATCTTGTAAGAACATGATGCAATTTTTGACATCGTCTTCTGAAAATGGTTGGCGAGTTCTTGGAGGCTCGGTTGCTTCTAGAGCTGTTCCCGTACGTGAGGTTGCACCAGGAGAACCCACTATTCTTGTTTTGGGGAGTGAAGGAACAGGTTTGAGGCCCCTAGTTGAGAGGTCATGTACTCAATTGGTGAGAATTCCAGGAAATATTCCCATGGATATATCACTGACAGGAGTTGGGGATGATGTGGAAGCTGACACGGAGAATAAGTTGTCTGGTGAAGAGTTTCTGTCCTTTATGGCTGTAGAGAGTTTAAATGTCAGTGTTGCAGCAGGTGTTCTTTTGCATCATTTGATTGGAAACAACTGTTCAAGCGATAACCAATCCAACCATCAAGTTGACTTGGATACAGATGCCCTTGATTAAGCTTAGAATTTTGGCCTTCAATTGTAAGTCATATGCTCATATCTGCTTGTGACTTTGCCAAATTTTGTTATTCAATAGTAGTTCAGGACCTTTTTTAGGGTTTTCTATGTTTTATAAGAAATTCAATTTGACAAGTGAGATCTATACGAGTTTTGTTGTTCTGTCAAGATTAATCTGAGAATTATACTTCGCAGTATTTCCAATGACCCCCCTGCATCAAAATATATACAATAGCAATTACCATGCCCCTTGAAAATTACCATGCCCCTTGAAGGACCTCTCTCTCTCTCTCTTAAAGAACCAAAAGAAAGGGGGGAGATAGAGGAACAGATGAGATGCCTATTGTGCTCTGTTGTGCATGTTTTAATCATCGAAAGTCTAATTTCTCTGCCAACAGTGAGCAGGTTGCATATCTGGGTTTTACTTTAACTTCGTTGTGATTCTTCCTTTCACAGAAAATATATGACTGGAGTAAAGTTAAGTTATATATGTACATGATGCTACTACTTTCCTCTCTATATGTGTGGAAAGTTGTAGAATATGTTGTTTACTTCATCATATGAGTAAATCAGCATTTGCAATTGGGAAACACAATGAAGCAGTCCAAGTTGATAAATAAAAGGCACTTAAAATAATGTTACGGCTTTAAGGCTTCCCTGAATGCATGCATGTTTGTGTTATCACGCTAATAGTGAAGATGAGGCATGAAGAAGTGTGGAAAAAAATGAGAAAATGCTCCTATATGATCACTCAAATACTGAAGAGCTGGAAATGGCTCAATATGAGCTCATTTCCAATGCGTTCTAAAAGTGCATGTCATTCTTATGTTCTTTTTTTGGGATCCAACTGGTTTTTGGGGATATTCTAATTGTTTAAGAAGCATAGATGCTCTGATGAAGGTGTGTGATGCACTTGTGCTCATCAAAGTCCTTTTCTGATTGTTGCATTATAAGTTAAGATTTGTTTGATCGAGTTTGAGCTTAATCCCTCTTGGAAGAGTAACCCATTGTGAGCCAGCTTTCTTGATTCAAGAATATCCCACAGTTAGTTAGGATAGATTGGCTGTCGGCACATTCCAAAATTAAGTGGATAAAGGCCATTAAGCTGAGAGAAATTGGATAGAACCCAAAGATTTTTCTGACTGGAACTGTATTTATTTCTCATTATTTGAAGGCAAGGCTGAATAATTTCACAGCTTGGGCTGCGTCGATCCTCATAGGAAGCAGCTAAAAGTTGAAATGCAAGCTATTCACAACCAGCTTATTTCTCCCTTAACAAACTTCTAATTTAACCATTATATCGGTCAAGGTTTGATGTCTTTGACCGGCATTTGTGTTCTCTATCCAACAGGCTTAAGCTGTCTTACTTCTTTTATTGATTAAGTGTGTGAGGGATCAAGACCATTTACCTATGGTGGTTGAATATATTTTTATTATTGCCTGAAAAATTATGCATGCAATTAACTCTTAATTATTTTCTTAACTCGTTGAGCTATATCTTTAAAGATAATATGCAGTTGACAGTCTTGTGTATTTGTGTGCATTACTAATTTAGTATCATGATAAAAAATCCTAGTTTGAGACTTTGAGGCGGATGTGCACAAGTGATGTGAACTTGATAGCTGAACCATTACTTATCTAATTTCTTATTACCTGATTAAAAGAGGTGTAGTATCCCGGCTTTCTTGCTGTGAAATTAGACTTGATACTTTAATTTTACTGCAGTTTTGATCTTGTTCAATGCATTCTGAAAGTGCATGCCTTTTTTTTTTTTTTTTTTTTTTTGGGGGGGGGGGGGTCCCTGACTTGGTTGAGAAGCGTAGATGCTCTGATGAAGGGGTAATATGTTCACCCACGTCCTGTCACTGAATGTTTAGAATCGAACTCTTTTTGCCTCTTGTTGCTATGGAAGTTTAATTTTGCTTCTTGGAAGAGAAATCCATTGTGAGTCAGCTTTCTTGTAGAAAGCAGCTAAAAATTGAAATGCAAGCTATGTACAATCAGTTATTTGTCCCATAACAAACTTCTCAATTAACATTTTTTGTTCAAGGTTCTATATCTTCGACCAGCTTACATTCGTGTCCTCTATCCAGTCGGTTTAAGTTGTTTTACTTTTATTTTGATTAGTTATTGCATATTCTTTCATCATATCCTTTGATGCTTTAGATGCAGATTGTTATCTTGGGAAGCCCAAAGTTTCCCTACATTGTCGTCGTGTGGTTTGATGAACGCTTGGTAAATTTGTACCTTTTACTTACTCCAATATCTTTTTAATTTTTCAGGTTTCAGGTTCAAACTGACATGAGATTGAGAGAACCCTCCCTTGTGTTGTAATATAGATGTCAGCCGAGTCACCATGTCAACACTAGCAGTCTTGCAGACACTTTGTTGCTCAACCTCCAAAATTAAGAGTTGCTCTTTAAACTCCCTGCCTAAAGTCAGTGTAAGAATATTATTGAAATGGCATGCTTTTGTAAGCCTTTATAACATTTTATTCTTATTGACTGAAATAGGTAGAAAATTGATGTTTTCAGACCCCAATTCTCTTATCTATGCATAAATGTTTCAAATTCAAATATACTACTCCTATGTAGGAGTTTTGGAATTACTCTGTACATCTGAAACAAATCTCTTTATAAGATATGAACACCCTTTCCTGCATAAGCTAGCCAGCTAGGCCTGCAGAATCCCAATCTCCGGATCAGTAAAAGGATGGCCATCTGTGTGTTCCCCCCGCCCCCTCCCACTCGGCCACACCAAGAGAGCGACAAGAGAGATACCTCGTTTGATATCGCTCTTAAGCTGTAACTTTGTTCTTGGCTCTCATACCATTATAATCACTGTAATTTTATTGCTGCATATGTCAAATGTAGTAGGTCCATGAGATAGCACACTTCCATCAACATGGAAAATGGTCCCTCCTCGTTTCACAACGTCATTATATATTGACTCACTTGGTACACTATTCATATATGAGCTTCGACATCACCTTTGGTCCAGCTCTACAAAAGGGGAAAGGAAACATTACTAGAACAGCGACCCAATAGGTGTTAATTAATGGTGGTAAACTGGTAATAGTAGCGAGTTTGTAAACATTTTTGTAAGGAGTGATAGTCATCCGTTCTTTTCCTTTTAAGTATACAAGTAACTCAGACGTGGATTTTTTCTTCAAACATTGAACAGTTGTCAAGTCCTCACATATGGCTGCATCTCTGGGTCTCCATCGAACTCTTTTAGCAAAAAATAACTTATGTCATTACATCTAACTTGCATTCAGTTGCATGGTTCATAGCAAATAAGCAAAACTTGGAATTACATCTAACTTGTACTAGTTGAGATTGTAAGATTTGTAACATTGTAAAAAGCCTAGAGCACTTTATGTAGAATCATCATTTCATTTTCGCTTGAAAATTCCATTCTTGGTTGATCAAGACCAACATAATTAGCACCAGAAGAAAGTTGAATAATTGCATCATTATTATTATCCAAGTATATATTCTCTTTGGTTATAATGACTTTATAACGCCAATATTGATGTTTGTTAAATAAATAATGGAATTGGGAACCAAAGTACCAAACATACAACGTTGCATCCAGCGGCCTAAATTGGGCCTACTTACATTGTGCAGGCAAAAGGGCTTCAATGATTAGCTTTTCATCAAATCATACCAAATTTTCATAAACTTGCTTTTAAGTTACAAGTTAATCTTAAGATATAAACATAACCTGACCTTCAAATTAAAACCATAGTAAACACAAATAGGCTAACCGCTAACATAAGCTCACTTAGGCCCTGTTTGGTGATAGCATTTGATTGTTTAAGGTAGCGGTTCGTTTTGACCAATGAAAATACTACTAGGAAAAAAAAAAGTGTTTGGTAAGGTAGCGGTGTGAGTAGCGATTAGCGGTAGAGGTAGCGTTTAGGTAGCTTTCCTCAAACGTAAAAAATAGTAGCGTTTAAGAGTAGCGGGTAGCGTTTGTTAATTTTTGGTTACTTTTTTTTAACAATTTATATTAGGAAAAATTGGCCGCAACAACATCAACTATGACAAAGGTGCGTGCAACAACATAACCTTTCGATGGTGCACTCCACATCACAAACTATGCACTTGGGTGCAAATAACAGCATAAATGTCACCAACTAAGTTGTCTAAACCTAGATTTCATCAAAAAGTGAAATTTTCGTTCAATAATTTTAATGCTTTTTATACATAATTTAATATATTTTTATTTAATTTCATCCTACTTGATTTTCCATCTCACTTGACTATGTAGTCTTCTCTTCCATTATTGATTGTTTCCTTTAACATCACTTTTCATCCTCCATCATTAAAGAGATTATTTCAAAAAAAATTCGCCATTATTTTCTTTCGTTTTCTTCTTCGGTTACTTTTTTTAGCATCTCACGTGATTGTCTTAGTTTCCTCTTCCTGTATTTAATTTTCTCCCTTTAAATTACTATCACTCTCAACCTCCACCATTAAAGTGTTGTACATTGAAAACAAAAAAAAATCAATTTGGCCTATTCTAAAATCTGATTCTGAAATTGTTTTTTGAAGAATTAAGTATTTTGAAGCATTTTGTGGGCTTGCATGGTATTAGAAATAGACTTTTTATCCTAAAATTTAGAGGAACGAAATGGTTTTCGGATGATTTTCTTTTATTTATCAACTAAGTATTTGACTAATGGAGAGGGAGATGCAACTAAATCAATCACATGAGGTCGATATATTTTTTTTAAAAAAAAAGTAATTGATGAAGCGAACAAAGGAAAATAATAGTGAAAACTTTTCGAAGGAATTCGCTTTAATGGTGGAGGTTAAGAAGTGTTTAAATGAAAATATTTAATAGAAGTAAAGGTTAACTTAGTCATGCGTAATGGAAAAGCATGTAAGTTTAAAAAATATTTAAACAATAATAAAATAATGAAGATTCTACTTTTCCCATGTAATCTTAGTTCATTGGTGTCATTCATGTTGTTATGTGCACCCAAGTACATAGTTTGTGATGTAGCCAACACTCTTGAAAGGTTATGCTGTTACACACACTTTTGTAATAATTGGTGTTGTTGCGGCCAATTTTTTCTTTATATATTTTAATAATGCAAATGCTACTTTTGCCAAACACCCATACGACCATACTATCAACAGTTTCTTTGACAGTTAATCTCTACCCACTATTAATCAACAGCTAGTCACTACCTTAACAACTACTGCTACTCGACTGCTAAAAGCTACCCACTACAATTTATTGAACACGCATCAAATTTTGATACCTTTTTGATTTGTAGTAACGTAATGGACTTGATAAACATATGTAATCGTCATCTCTATTATATCACTTGTTTTAAAAAGTTTGGAAAGCTACTTAACATTTGTAATTACGTAGGGATGTTGCAAATTGCAATTCATCTGATAAATCAATTGAAGTTTGATAAGCAACGGAGTATAAGAAATCGGCAAATCGCCAATGATTAGAGGTTAGCATGAGCATGGTTTGAAAGCAACGGCAGCAGCAAAGTAGCATGTTATGAATAGTGCTTGTTTAAGAAAAACAGCATATTGACAGCACATTCCTTAGCTATGTACCCAATTGCTCTTAGCATATTCCCCACTTCCTTAATTCATTGACCTTGACTCTTCTGAGAAATGAGAAATACTATTTTGCCAGCTGCCCATTTCTCTCTCTCTCTTAATTTACTTTATATGTAAATTTTCTTGTGTTAAAACATAGGGCTATTTTTAGATTTGTTTTGTTCTCAAAATTCTTTGTATAAATGGTAGTATTCCTTAGTTTGATACTCCCTTTGTATCTGAATAAGTGTATCAGTTTGAGAGACACATATACCATTATTATATTTAATTGTGTAACACCAAAAATAATAAAAAGTTGATGTTATAAAAATATAATGTACATCGTAACTAATCTAGCAAAACTTTATATAATATCATGTGGCCTTCAGCTTCATATATTAGTATTATATATATCTAGTCAAAGTTGGTATGTGAATAGTGCAAAAGTCAATGCAAATTGATCCACTTATTCATATCCGAAGGGAAAAATTTTGTTTGAGCGTCGTGAATTTAGCAAACATACCTGCATATTTAAGTTTTTCTCTTTCGCTACTTTATAAAGGGTAGTCATGAATAATAAGATTGTTCACCCATGACCCATATGAGTATTAGAACTTTGAGACGAAGAAAATAAACAATAGAATAATTTTAGAAGACAATCAAATATTCAAATCTCATGCATGTCAATAACCATAAACTTCTCAAAGTGTCTTGTTAACCCTAATCGATCAATAAAGGAAAAGTTGTCAATTCCTACCTCAATTCTAAATAAAGGAAAATTGACAATAACAATTAAGTACAGAGTAAGTGAAACACAAGAGACAACACACAATTAAACCAAAAAAAAAAAAAAAAAAAGTGTAAACTTAAAAGAGTAGTGTTATCGATGCATTCATCATTAATAAGCAACCAAAAGTGTTATTATGAAAATAATTCAATTTAAAACATTCTTTATGATGAATATGATAAAAAAAAAAATTAAAAATGGAGGAAGTACATACTTACAAGTTTAATCAAATTATCATGTTTTAAAGCATTAAAAAAGACAATAATCACAAAATTAAACAAATTAAAGAAGACAAAATGCCAGAAGTTTCACTACAATATAACAGCTAATTATTGTACACATCTAATAATGAACTAGTAATCTATTTCAAGCTTCATCTTTGGAGATATATATGTACATAGTGGATTAGTGGGTGACAAATACTACTTAATCAACTGATGTGTATTTGTAGTTCTTGACTTGCATTGTTGGCAATTTAGCATTGGATTTGATTTAATTAAATTTTAATTTGTGACTTGTAGAATTAGACTATCATTGACAAATGACAATTTAGTGGGACCTTAAGAACTAACGTCACACTTATCAATCTATATTATTTACAGTAAGCATTCCTAAGCAAGTATATCAATCTATATTAGGTACTTTTAAGCAGTTAGCAGTCTTCCTTGGACCTTCCTTTAACTGTCAAATAATAGTGTCATTTGCGGTTGGTCCTGATGATTTGGTCCTTAGGACTTTAGGAGAGAAAACTTCTTAAAAATACTTATTATATATCAAATGAGCAAAAATAATTTATTAGCCGAGTGCGTGTAAACTGTGTAAACTCCCACATTGGAGATGGAGTTGCCCAAGTTGTAATTTTGGCATGCGATTGCATGTTAAACTCCGTATATGACAAGAAGGGACTAACACTTTTATTTACTTGCAAAGTACAAGTAGTTTTTATTCCTTATAGATTATCAAAATAAGTAAAATAACCGAAGTAAAATTTGATATCTTGAAAGTACGCATCAAGAAAGATCTAATAAGATCCTACATGTATATACTTATATTTTCTTAATTTGGCGGGTTAATAAATAACAAAAATGACGAAAATTTGATAAACAACATTGGATGAATAACATAGAAATATACACTGTATTAATAGTCAAATTTAGGTCTTGTTGGTATAAAGTTCACAATACAATAAACCAAAACAACATTAGGGAATAAGAAGGTTCTCTATTATTCATACGAGGGAAAACAACAATGATGATTGATGACAGGAATGTATGTGATCGAAGCTTGGTCTAAGATTCGAATCAAAAACCAGCATCTTCTTCAAAAAAAGCAACAAAAAAGGAGCCCCTATAATTGGGTCTTCATGCATGTGCCATTCATTCCTTAGTTCACTATATATCACCAAACTCCAACTCATTCCCACACGCTTCATAAATCCCTTAACATTAAGTTCCCACGTACCAAGCGCTTCATAATAAATCCTTAAATATAGTTTTGATGTACCAAGCTAGCTATAATGAATTGGACACTCCAAAAGAAAAAAAACAAATAAATAAATTACGGGTAGGAGATTAAGTTTTTTTTTTTTTTTTTTTTTTTTTTTTTTTTTTTTTTATTTTTTTTGGTGTTAAAGAGCCACAAGGGTGAATGATGATCAAAATCGATCCTAGGATCTCCAAGAAGCGGGAAGCAAGCTCTAACCACTTAAGTTATCCTTCACTCTCAGAAGATTAAGTTATTTGATGTAATAGAAAATGCTACTTCTTTTAAGTTTTTCTTTTTTTCCAACCAAATACAAATTATCGTCCAACGAAAATTGTTTACATATGACTTACTTGGTAAGTGAAACTAAATTTGAACTTTATAAATACTTGTACAATTTTGGTTTCTAAATAAACAAATATTGTCAGCTTTGTGATGATTTTTTAGCTCTTATACTAACGTCTAATCAAACATAATAAATTAATTAAACTGCTAAGTACCAAACAAATCAAAAGGTTTCGGTTGGTTTAGTAATATCTGGCTTAATTGCCAACAGGATAATTTTAATAAACTAAACATTAATAGATATATTGCTATCAATTTCTTGGTCAAAGTGTGTCAAGCGATTTAATTTAAGTTCGACTTTCAAGTCAGGTAAATCATATTGAGTAATCAAATACGATTGTATGAGTTAACTTTGCTAGGTCTTCCTAAGACAATCTAGAATCATAAGGGTCATGTTCACCTGATTTTCACTTATATAAACTTATACGATCTTATTTCATCTGAACCTACCTAAACATATATATATCTAAACATATAACACCATATTATAACTTATGACCCTTATTATAACTTTTTTTTTACTGAAATTAATTAAACTTATTAAAACTTGTTAGTTGAGATGAACACTACAAGAGGGGGGTTAATTGTATGTGAGTTCCTAGTGACTACTTTTGCGGAATTAACATAGAATATAAAAAGAACTTAGCAAAACACACAAGATTTTACAAGGAAACATTCCAGAGCCCAATTGGAAGTAAAACCTCGACCCTCCAAAGGATTTCAAACACCAAATCAATCCACTATAATAGGGCAAATACTCCTAGTTACAACCTATTATAATCAGACCTTTACTCACAAGTTCCTGACTGAACTTGCTACTCGATAGGACCCTATCCTATCCAATCTAATTAAATCCCAGACTTAGATTCTACTCGACACTCCCTGAATGTCCACTCTCTCAACTTCAATCTAGAAGCCTACAATCTGTATGCAATAAGCTAAACACTCGCCCAAACCAAAACAATACAAACTCTTTGACTCTAATATGTGATAGGAAAGCTACACATGGAATCTGAAACTAATATGACATAGTTTAGACTTGGCAAACTTACACTTAAGAGCTCTCTTCAGATTCTTCACGCATAAACTCACAAGTTGTGTAAATTATGAATTTTACTTTATATACAAGAAGTACTCGTATCAAAGTAGGGTTTTCAAAAAGATAGAAATTATAAAACTACCATTTTCATAAAACACGTTTTTAAGTAAATCATTTGTAAAGAAAATCTTTTTAGAAAACTTATCAAAGATATAATTTATGAAAAGAATGATATTTTATAAAACCGAATTTCACACAATAAAATCTTTAGAAAATCTTTTCATAAGTTAAAACTTATGTTTTATAAACTTTCCATTTATAAAGCTTGCCAAACTTTGTCACGCCTCTAATAAATTCCATGCATAACAACTTTCCTAACATATCTACAACAATCCTTAGAAAAAGAAACTTAACATAAATTTATATATTCTAGCTGGATTTTCTCGTCAATTGTTGTAAGTTAAGGATACTTGGGCTTCATGCAGACCAGGATCAAGATCCTGCTGTCCTTCACTCTCCAGCTCCTTGTTGTCTTCTACGCAGACCAATTCAATTTTCTCAACTTGCTGTCAAGCTCCTGTTAGGGAACTCAGTAATTCTATTAAGGAACTCTTCTTCTACTTTCGTTAACTTTCCTGGGAGTCTCCTTGGGTCTTCATAGTCAAGTTGCTTTTCCACTTCCAAAGTCAACTTCACCTTTTCTAGTTACAACACTTAGAGAAATCATTGGTTGAAGTTTGCTTACTTTTATTCAACATCATCAAAACTCTTAAGCTTCGACAAAACTGAAATAAAAGGTGAACAAAACATGCCTAAAATTCATGGTATATAGTCGGAATGTTGATCACAAAGTACTATAGGTGCATTCAATCAACCTAATCTTCACTTGTATAAAACTTATAATTTGAATTATATTATACAAGTATAAAACTTATTTGAACTATGTGTACACATTTTTCTAAAAAGGAAAATTGAAATAAGATTAAAAGACTAAGCCAAAGTGTACCCTATTGTTCAAATATGATAATATGCACGTTCTAACTTGGAACATACATATGCCAATACATGTGGTTTAGTTATCTATATCGTACAAAGTGTATAATAATTTTATTAAATTAAAGTTAAAAAGTGTATCAATTATTATGATACGGAAGGAGTATTGTTTATTTGATACCCGTACACGACGACAGTGAGTCCAGTTCCTAAGCCTCTGTTGGTAATTAATTTTGTCAAATCCCTAATACTAAACGCTAATTTTGACTTTGTGGTTAATTTGGAAATCAACTTCGAAATATAGAATTTGGGCGGTTCAATAATTTCTCTCTCCTCTCAAACAAACTTTTTTTTCATTTTTTTTTTCCTCTGTCTTTCTCATTTTCTCTCTCCTCTCCTCTCGCTCTATCGAATTCTTTCGTTAATGGCGATCTGAGAGGAAGAGAGACTATCATAAATTTACATTAATTTACGAATTACACGAATCTTGGGATTTTTTTGCTGATTATTTTTAGCTTCGTTTTTAATTTTTGTAAATTATTTGTTTGAAATTATAATGGCTGCATTAGAATCCCTTGATTCGTTTTTGTTTGCTGCTAGTCGAGCTTGTCTTACCCCCATTGCCATATTCGTTCAGATCCAGGTTAGTTTTTTGCTTCAATAATTTGATTTTATTTTGTTGTTATGCTGATTTTTTTAATATTTGTTGTTGTTGCTGTTACTTTGCTGAATTTGTATTATTTTATTTTAGAACAAATATTGTATTTTGTTGATTAAATTTGAATGTTGTTTTGATATATTTTTTTGGGAATTGGTTGAAATTTTGAAGTATGGATGTTTTGGATAAGGTTAAATTGCAGCTAGAATTTGATAATTTGGGATTGATAGGATGAAATTATGTTAATGTTCTATGTTTAATTAGACTATTAGGGCTTGCTAATATATGATTTTGATGCTGGCGGGAAGCTTTTGAAATTTTGTTGTATAAAAGCTTGATGTTCAATGCCTAGTATTTTGGTGGAGATGATCATATACAACTTTGATTGTGATGTTGTTGAGCACATATTTGCAAAAGGTTTGGTTGCCAATTGCCATGACTATAATCGAATTCCCAAGACGCAAGGCTTAAATTCCATGATATGGTGATTTGGGTAATGGAGGAAGTAAATTAAGAATTACTGCTTATTCTTTAATCTAGATTACTTCCAGGGGTAACTTGGGAGTGGACTTATTGGCCTCTGATATCAATTATCTCAACCTGTAAATTGACTTTAGAGTTGATGTGGCGGATCGAGGAATTTTAAATGGGATATAGCAAATCAACTTCAACTTGATAGTTTTTCTCCTTCCAACTGTTCCAAGATTATGCCTTATATACTTTTGGGTTGGCATATTTTTTGGGGAGTGCAAAAGTTAATTAGAAATTTCTCCTTTAATATTAAATCAAGCTTTGGCAATAACATAGGCTCTCTCACCCATGTGTGTACTAACATAAATGTTAATCGGCAAATCTCACCCTCACGGTTGTTCTTTGTAATTCGTTTGCGGCATCTGTCAATTAAGTCTCAACAAGGATTATAGATTCAGGTCATATTGCCTTGACGTTTGACTAATAGGGGGTGATTGGGAGTTTCCTGGACTGATTACAATAAGGGGACATTTTTGGTATTGTCCCCATGAGGTACTTCCTCGTATTGATGCTTGTTTTGTATGACTATGGTCTGGATGTTTTATATGGTCATTTGATGATAAAATATTTGGACTACTGCTATTATAAGTCCTTTAAAAGAGCTCTGGATCAAGGCAAATCCTCCCATGTAGTCACATTATTGTACTGTTCTTTCTAACCATTGCTGCCTAGAATGACTTTGACTTAGTTAAGACATATATGTCTGTATAAGTACTTATTGAATGAATCAATTGTGCAGTGATGTTATTTTTTCCATTTTGATTTCTTGTTTGTTTTTGCATGTAGTTGTACCTTTTACAGTTTAAATTGTCTTCTTGTCATAGTATAAGGGGATCTGTTCTTATCAAAGCCTTTCTATTCTCCTGCTGTTCCCACCCATTATTATTTTGATTGATGTTGTCTTAATTTGGACGATAGACCTTAAGCTTCCTTGTTTATTGCTGCAGGGATGTTTAATCTGTCTAGTTTTAGCATTTGGGTGGGCCTGCGCTGCTCATGTCAGGTACTGATACTGGAGGACAGATTTAATGAACTGATGGACTAATATATTTATTATGAGATTCAATATTCATTTGTTGGGGACCTGTGATGGATCTCTCTCTCTTCTTTTGCTTCAGGAATAGAGAAATAAAACGCATGAAAAATGAATTGAGGAAAGGAAATAGCTTTGGTTTCCTTTGTCATGACATTACTGAGCTTGAGCACTCTTATCAAGTTAATCTGCCAAGAGTCACAGTTGTTATGCCTTTGAAAGGATTTGGAGAGCACAATTTGCATAACTGGAAAAGTCAGGTGCAACTCTCTCTTCCCTCCTTTGATTTTTTTAATAGATGAACAGTATATTCTGCTTCGACACAGTTTCCCATTCCACACAAAAACTTGGTATGTTACGTTTTTGGTCAGGGAATTTGGAAATTTGAATGGTTGTGACATTTTTCTTATACTTCCTCCGTCCTTTAAATATTGCAACATGGGAGGAATTACGTTTCCCAAAGCACAATTTAAACCTTTATCTTTTAATTATAAAAATTGATATGGTAAAAATATAATAATTGATATTGTGAAAATATATATCAAGATGTCTAACAAATGACCTTATATTTCCTTACATACAAGTCACAATATGTGTTTAAAGACTTAAAGAGGAGTGTGTGAATAGTGTCAAAAAAGCAAACGTTGCAAAATTAAAAGAAAGGAGGAAGTATTTATATATCCATTCTTTCTTGGGTTCATGATCACCAAGGTGATTCGTATTCATTATCTGGTGGCAATAGGTCTTCCATATCTTTGTGAAGAGTCCTTCATTTTCTTAATTTCCTTTTTGGCTAAGATGAAGTGGAATGCATCTTGACAGTTCTGTTGATGTCTATTTCAATGCAGATTACATCCCTATATGGTGGGCCTATAGAGTTTCTTTTTCTTGTAGAAAGTACTGAAGATCCAGCATATCACGCTGTATCTAGGCTTATAAAAGATTATCAGGTACTTAACTTATTATATATATTACTTCATTGGAATTATTGTCAGTTAGAAGTAGAGTATACATGCTTACATGTCATCATGATTCTTGTAAAATTTATAAATAGACTTTGATGGCATAAAGTGTATTTTAAAGTAGCATGGGATCATTTTCCTTTAATTGTAGAAGATTACAAGGTTGGTCTGTTTTTGCTATTATAGCAACCTTCATGACGTTATAATAGTGGAAGATCATATGGTAGCATGTTAGTGATAGCCTTACAACATCTTCAACATATCATAATGTCCTGTGTTGTGTGTATCCTAACTAATTATATGGGTGATGACAGGATGAACTTGATGCTAAGATTATAGTGGCAGGCTATTCAACCACTTGCAGTCAGAAGATTCACAATCAACTTGTATGTTATTCTTTTTTAAATCAAGTTTGATTTTGGCATTTGTGGTGCATTAAAGTGACCGTGTTTTTAAGTTTAATTATCTGGTTTCTGCTAAGAATGCTAACTAATGTACACACAGAAGACATTAGCCTTTTTCCCCCAACTGCTCTTCACCATTGATATATTACTCTGCTGTTATTCGCTTATTTGTTCTCATATTAATGGAATTGTGTATATAATACATCTCTAGTTTGTTTTCTGTTTGACTAGAAAGAATTACTTTCTTTTTTGGAAGTACCTTTAACTGTAAATTGCATTGGGATATAGAAATTTGTAACTATGTTGTTCAGTTATATTGTGTGAATGAAAAGTTCTGGAATCTTGACTATAAATCTGTGAAATATGGAGACCCACAGAAAATTAGATGGACTAGACTTGGGGTGTATATTATCAGTTTAAAAAATTTAAAACCATATATGATAGGGTGACATTGTTCTGAGAGCGAGGTTTGGCCAAAATATATCTGTTTATATCCATATACTGTATGATCTTTTTGTACTTGCATAGGTCCGATTTTGAAGCTGACTGCTGATGTTACTTTCATATGCGAACTTTGTTCGTTCTCAGGTTGGTGCAGAAAAAATGCATAAAGATAGCAAGTATATACTGTTTCTAGATGATGATGTTAGACTTCACCCAGGATCAATAGGTGCTCTCACGGCTGAAATGGAAAAAAATCCCGAGGTATCGTTTGGCTTTGGTATTGTTAAATTAACTATTTCAAATGATATGCATGAAATTCATATTTTCACGATTTGTTTTTTTGTATTAAATTTGGGTTTGATTCATTCTATGTTGCTGTTATGTGCAGATTTTTATTCAAACTGGTTATCCACTTGATTTGCCTTCTGGGAGCTTAGGAAGTTACTGTATATATGAATATCACATGGTATGTGTTATTCTATTGTTATGCTATTTTCAAAATTTCAAATGTGTTGATAGCCATAAGCAGCTTATATTATTCACGTTAAATATCCGTGATTATGAACTTATTCTCATCCTTCTATTTTATGGTTCTGGACTATCATTAATGTTGCTGTATAATATGAAAAATGATTTATGGCACATTGTAAAGTATGAAGAGTGAAGAGTAGTACATAGTTTACGTAAGGTGAGTGATAATTCAGTATCTTGTGATGGGCAGATCGATGGTAGAATGGCCTTTTGTTTCATTGAAACAATTCTGCCTTAGAGTGGTATTTTGGATAGATGCAATTTTGAGTTATGATCATATGCGCAAGAATCCTAGCTTGTCATGCCGTGGTACAGGGCTTGGACTCTTCCACCCATGGTACCAAACATATGGGTGCAGTAGCAGTTGCAAAACTTGGTTGATATTGTTTCATACTCCCTTTGTTTTTTTTTTGTCGGTTATGCTTTCTACTTTCGTCCATTTCTGTATGTTGGTTACCCTTTTTGCTTCCTACTTTGGCAAGTTTTAATTTCACCTTACCCAACATGAAACACTCCTTTTCATACTCTTCTTTCGCAAACCCCTCTTACAACATTCTCTCTTCTACATTTCTTACACATCCCCTTATCCACACACTCTCTCCTACATCCTAGTGTGTAAACAGTAAGTGTAACCAACATTTAGGAAGGGAGGTATTTGTTTAATTCGTTGTAGTAACATTTGGTCTTACCAGAATCTGCAACGCTCTGTAGACAAATTCCCTGATTAAATTAATAACAACTTCGCATTCCAAATACGGAATTGGGCTGGTTGCGTTGAAGCAGATTCTGTTTGGTTCTTAGAATTTCACATTTTCCATATCACTTCTCAACTGATATATGTTGCGGTTTTTTTAAAAACATTTGCGGTTTTTTTAAAAATACATTAAACAAGGACACAATTCCCTTTACTATAAATCCTCGCCTTCAGCAATGTTATGATGCTTAACACTAACATCCATATGCTTTTGAGAAGCAGAGAAACCTACATAATTTCAGCCCTTGTGAATTTAATGTTGATGTTGCTTAGATATGCTACTTACAGAGTTACAGACATGAGGATGTTAATTACTCCCTCTGTTTCGTAATAATCACAACACTTTCCTTTTACATCTGTTCCATAGTAATTGCAACCCTTCCTTATTTGGTAAGGACCCAGTATTATTTTATTATTTCTCTCTCCTACCAACCCTACTTACACTACTTTTTTTTTTATTTTATTATTTTTATTATTTCTCTCTCCTAAAAACAATTAAACATATCCCCACTAACAATACTTTATATTATAAAATTCACCTTTTGGTCCCCACCCTATAATTTTCCTGAAACTTTGTGCAACACCTACTGTGGCGATTATTACGAAACAGAGGGAGTAGTTATCTTGCTGTTTCTGTGTAATTATATTTACTCTACTTACAAATTCTTTGTTGTCTCTACAGCCTTGCTCTATGGGGTTTGCTACTGGTGGGAGAACATTCTTCTTATGGGGTGGTTGCATGATGGTAAGTAGTCACAGTATTTGCAAATGGTACACACACTACAATTTTTTTTTTCCTGATTTCCTACAATCTCAGATGCATGCCGATGACTTCAGAAATGACAACTATGGTGTAGTCTCAGAACTCCAAGATGGTGGATATTCTGACGATATGACTCTTGCAGCTATATCTGGTAACATATCTACTTCTACAAAATTAACTATTCTGTTCCATTTTGTCTAATATCCCCTCTTCTTGGTAATATTGATGCCCTTTGTAATGCCCCTGGAGTTATAAATTGTGTTTTTTTTTTCTTTCTATATTCTCTGTTCTGATTGACGTTGACTTACCTACAGTGTGTACAGTAGTCATTCAGCTCTTTTTTTCAAGTCTGAGTGATGAGGAGATGAGGACCTATATCAGTAAAAATATCCTGTAGTGTAAGATGTGAGCTGGTTTTGCTGTCTCATGAAGCTTCAAGGTCAATGTGTAATACGTGTTGGTCAAGGACGTCAATGTGGTTATATTGTGCATGTGATTGAACTGGAAATTAAAGGAAAAGATCTAGAGAAAGTCGAAGATGATATGAATGGATAAAATAATCTGATTCAACATTTGAACACTTCCAAAGTTAGCTAACCAAACCAAAAAAACAATTTAGTTTACTGTATGCTATTTCTCTCCTATTCTTCTATTTATTACATTTCTGTTTTGGCCTTTTCTAGCAAATATTCTGATTTTCCTTGTGGCTTCCCTCCCAAGAATTCACCTAGCTGACTTTGGTCTCCCATTCCTTTTATACTCTTCTCTCAAAAAATGGTCTGGGATGTTGCTGAACAGTGCATAAAAGAAAAACCTTTAAATAATAGGCAGAGAATGGCACGCCTATAAAAAGAAAAATGAAGAGGTTGTGTGCTGCTCAAAGGTGTCCATGTTCGATATCCTTGGTCTTTCTATTGTTTGTATATAGGCAAAGTACATAACATCTATTTATGTATTATGAATTTATGAGCATCGAACACTGTAGCAAGAAAAATAAAAACTCTTTGTCAGTGATATGGGCTTTATATGAGTTGTCAGATTCATTTCCTGTCCACTTATTACAGCATGTAGTAGAATTCTATTTGACAAGGCATGCACCTTGTGCCCTCTTATATCATAATTTATCCCTGGTAGTTTTCACCAATTTGGACAATAGTTAAAATGCAGTTATATTGAATCTGAAATGAACCAGCTTAACCCAGTAGAAGTTTAATGTCTTGAAGTTGACACCAGTCATAGTTGTTTAAGCATGCAATGGATGGTTGAAAGTGCTCAAATTAGTTCATTGAAACGTTGTTTCTTTTTAAAATTTTGATCTTGTAGCTTCATAAGAACCTTGCTTGCTCATTTTAGGGACCTCAAAAGGCTCCTTTGACAGTAATTTGTTGCTAATTGTAAAGTGTATTTTTTTTGTAAATCTGGTCATTGAAGCACATTTGGGTATTCTATCTTTACAGTAGTTGATCTTTGTCATATTTTTCAGGAGCTCACAAAAAACTCATAACATCTCCTCCAGTTGCTGTTTTCCCTCATCCACTTGCAAGTGATCTTAGTTTCTCCAGGTTTGTTGTAATATTTAAGTGCTTTTTTCATTTATACAGAATTTATCTCTTAATTTCATCTGACAGTATTTGGTGATTTGGTCTCTTTAATCTTCTAATGTAGGTACTGGAACTACTTGAGGAAGCAAACATTTGTTCTAGAATCATATGTGTCAAAGGTTAATTGGATCATGAATCGCGCATTATTTTCTGTGCACTGTTACTTCTCATGGGGATTTGTGGCGCCATATGTCATGGCTGTGATACATGTTGCAGCTGCACTTCGGATGCGGTGTGGAGCTTACTCAATTGAGGATGAATTTCTTATTTCTGGTGGTAAGTATAGCTAACCTCGTTGGCAGGTCACTCAACAAGATCTTATTAGCTGAATCACCTTGATTTCATGGGTTTGTCAAGTTATAATATCAGTAGAGGACTGCAATGTAATAGGATGGTTTCATGCTGATAGTGTGGTTATATAGGTTATCAGCCAATCCCCAATGAATTGTTGGCTACATTGCATCTATAGAGCTCAGATGATTTGAAATAGGATAAGAGGGGCTGCTACTAAAATATCATACAATTTATTTGTGATTAGGTCATGTACAGCAGGGCTGATCAAGATTAGGTTTGGTATAGGGGTTTTCATTTCAGGATAATATCCTGATTTGGGACAAGTAATATCTTGATGAAAGGACACAGTAGGGGTAGAGAACCTTTGTGTTATTGGTTGAGATATGCTGCTGAAGATACGTTTTTGGACCTCATTAAATTTAACTATCATCTGCCACTTAAGTATAGGACCTTGTTTGAAAAGTATTTACACGTTATCCTCTTTTTCAATTGAAAACCCCTTATTTGAACTTTACTTACTAGACCTTATTTTATTTTTACTTTTGAATTAAACATGTCAGCCCATGTTTCGAATTTTTTGAACTTAAACTTTATGGAAATTCAATTTTCTTTGTTGGTGATAAGATTGAGGCTGTTGTTACCTTTATTAAATTCCCAAAAGGAAGTATTTCCTACAATGCTTATATTTTAGAAGTCTTTCATTTTTTTATTTATTATTATTTTTTTTTTAATAATATTTTTTTATAGGACATACTTTTAGCTTGAGTTTCTTCTCTGCAGTGATTTTCAAGCCTTTTGATGTCTTAATTTGGAAGGACCAAAAGCTTAATAAGAAGACATTGATGTACTGCTCTACTTGAATGGAAAAAAAAGTATTCTTAAATGCTTGTAGCTTAATATTTAATTACTATATTCAAGTTTGGATTCCACTGAATAGTTACAATAGTATACAAGATCACAGTTGGCTGTTAAGAGAAGCTTTTGCTTTGTGAAGTCTTCTTATGTAGAACCAAAGCTCAGTCATAGAGAATTTTGTAGTTGAGATCTATAACGTATCCACAGTTGTGCAGAAAAGAAGTTTGTATGGGAATGATGAATAATAAAGCAATAATTTGTGCAATTAAATTTCTTGTCGACAGTTACTCATTTGCATCTTCCATTTTCCTATTTTCTCGTAGGGTGGTTATTTGTGGGCTGCCTTGCCACATGCACTGCTATTGAGTTGCTTTCTATGTGGAACTTGACAAGGATTGAAGTTCACTTGTGCAACTTGTTATCCCCTGAGGCACCGCCTTTGTCACTTGCTACCTACAATTGGTGTCTGGTGTGTTTCTTCTCTTCATTTTTAAAAGTTTTGCGGTTTGACTGTTCTTTGGCATTTGTTTCTGTATATTGTATCCTTTAGTATTTTATAATATATTTTCACTAAAAGTATTAGTGTTGGAAACCAATAAGACAAACTCATATTTGGTAGTGGAAATTGCATTATCATGGACATTCACTTAGAACATTGCATGTAAATTCATCAATGAAAGAATCTGGAGAAGGTTTATGCTGAGTGAAGAGTTAGAAGAAAAAAAACGCTTCAGTGGTTTGTAGATTATTATAGAGCAGCGCTTAGTTTTCTTTTCATGGACTGTTTAAATCTGGGAATGTGAAGTCATTGATATTACTTATCTTGCGAATATTTGTTGGTAATGTGGCCCATAATCTGCTGCCAACTTTTTTTCCTATTTGATGCCATGTTGAGCAGGTGTTTGTTGCAATGCTTGTGGACAACTTTTTATATCCTATCTCTGCGCTGAGATCTCACTTCTCACAATCTATTAATTGGTCTGGTATAATATACTACTTGAAGGATGGGAAAATATACAAGGTATACCAGTTTTGTTTTGGTTATTTTCCAACAATGTAGATCTATGCTCTCGTGCCCTTTTGTTATTTTTCTTGCTGTCACTTTAAAGGGAGGAAGTAGTGGGTATAAAACGAGTGGATTGACTGTGTTCATAGCCCACCACATCGTCATCTTTGCCCAGATTTCCCCAAGTGATTTCAAGGCATTCCACAACACTAATGACCCATAAGAGCCATTTTTTTGGATTGGGAGTGCAGGAACTCATTAATGCTAATAACTAGCTACCACAACTCATTTTTACATATTAAGTCTTCCTTATTCATGTTTTCATGTTCTAGTAAGAGAGTATTTTAATGTCCTCTATCAGTATGGTTTACTGCTACTCTCCTTGCCATTTCACTTTCATGAACCTACTTGTTATTATCAAATCCAAGTTTTTCATTAGAAGCTTCATCTAATTGCACTTGAATATTCGTAAATGGTAACAGATTCATCCATAGTTGGTGAATCTCTTCCTTATTCATGTTTTCATGTTCTAGTAAGAGAGTATTTTAATGTCTTCTATCAGTATGGTTTACTGCTATTCTCCTTGCCACTTCACTTTCATGAACCTACTTGTTATTATCAAGTCCATTGTTTTTCATTAGCCTAGCTTCATCTAATTGCACTTGAATATTATTAATTGGTAACAGATTTATCCATAGTTGGTGAAATCCGTAGTATGGTTTATAATAATGCGTCTTTGGATGCTTGTCTTCACATGTAAGTGAAACTATAACTAGGTTGCTTAATGTGTGTTACTTTACCGACTTGAGATAGTGTTCTTCATTATTTGATTTGAATCTGAGCTTTACCACCAAGCCATTTTGTATTTATAAAACCATGATTACTGCAAGTAATTTTGTGATGTTGTGGGGACTTTGAGAATCCTGTTGGTATATTTACGTTCAGCTTAGCTCATATATTCCCCTGTGCAGATTGATAGAGGGAAAGATATCGGACCAACACATTCAGACCTCAGTGGAAAGAATTTGTATGGGAAAAGAGGATCTCCACCCAAAACTTCATTTATCAGTTCATTAGCAAGAACGTTGGTACAGTGGCGGCAGCCCAAAAAATACGATGTGTAGGATCATTAATAGCATAAATGACAAGGTTGCATTTATTCCAGATGCAAGGGACTTTGAAGCAATATTTTTTTTTGTGAATGTCACCCTTGCATGTCAATTTGGCCATTCTTATTGATTGATTCATGCATTAGAATTCTTCATTTTTTGATTCTTCAGCCAGTTTGATATTTGGCTTAAGGTGATTTTTTGTAATTTGTATCAATATCATTGTGTAGTTTTTATCAGTGTTAAAATTTCCTTGTACCATTGTAAAGTTCTGAATGTTCAGTTTTTCAGGTGATAAAATAGTTGTTTGATTTCATCTTTGTTTTTTCTGGCGCCAACAAGTTGTATATTTGATCATTTGTAAAGTAGAAAAGGCTCGGAAATTGCAAGTGTTTTTTTAAAACTATTCCAGATTGATTAAGAGATTATTACCATTCTTCATCATACAGAGCAGCAATTACCTATGTCATGCTTGTACAAGCAAACTGGATAAACATCTTTGATTATAAAAGCAGACAAAACTTCTACTTTAGTGTCCCTGAATGGTAGCAAATTAGAAAAAGGTCTACTTCTCATTGATGTTTACAATTATCACCATATGAATTGTGAATATGGAAAATTCTATCTTAATATAATACCTAAACATTTAAAAAGTGGAATATAAAAGCTTGAACTGAATTTCTGCGAGGAGCTATAAGATAACCCTTAACAGAGAAGTCCAAATGAATTTCTTTAATCAAATTCATCAATGGAGTAGGACTAAAATTCACAAAACTCAAGAATTGAAAGCATCCATGACTCAAGTTGATTTGATGCGCCTCTTTGTAGGATTTCAACTTAAGTCATAGCGCTGGTAACGTAGCTCAAACAATCCAGCACCTGCTAAGAATTTAATCTTACATCAAGAACTTGCAAATGACAGGGATAAGGTTGGGACAGCATATTGAAGGAGAGGAGTCTCAGCCAAAAAATCTTTTCACCAAGCATTTAGACATTTAACTGGTTGCACAAGCTCAGTCACTGTTCCAGTTCTCCAATGCAGAAATCTTCTATTATGTCAAATACTCGTGTACCATGCTGTGGCCTGCCAAGCAAACATGCAAGTGTTCACAACACAGTTGCCAAAAAAAAAAAAAAGTGCAGCAACAGCTACATCAAAATCAGCTAAATGTTCACAACACAGTTGCCAAAGAAGTTATGAGCATCAATTAACAACAACAATTAACAAAATATGAAATTCATAAATACATGTGATTTATGGCACTTCAGAAAATCCACATGATGAGGGGACTTTTATATTCCGTTCAGAGGGGGGGATTATCCCATTTAATGTCCATATATCTATATCAGTTATTCTTCCTAATTGATCTGATCCTTGTTCCTAGCCATGTCTAAACTATGTTTCTCACAAAAAAAACAAAACAGCTTCAGATCATGGAACTTACGACACTACAAGCATTTCCATTAGCATGAAGGTGCCGAAGCTTTCTCTCCAAGGCAAAACTAGTCAAGTCAATACACTAATATAAGCAGATTCCTTCTGAATAGAAAGCAGTCCATACATGATCTGAACATTGGTATTGGAAATTTGGAACCTCAAAGAAGCTAAAGAAGGTATATGAAGACTTATTAGATGAAGTTATTACCGCAGTAATATGACTCAACCTAGATCTTGGTGTGGATGAGGTCTAAGGAGGTCGGTGTGTAAGCAACCTTACTTATATCCAGCCACAGAAAACAGAATCGAGAGAAGTAATCAAGTAATGAACGGTGCATTCCTGTAACAGCAACATAAAAGACTGACATAATAGGCTCATACCCATAAAATCCTTCAGTTGAATCATCCCCTGCATGCGTTAATATAGCATCACCACCAGGGTGCTCCTCCACATATGAAGTTACATCATATACCTACATCAACAGCACCAAAAGGGAAATGGCACAATCAGCTTAGAGAAATGGCAGTTACAGCTTTCAAAGTAATGATCATTCTTATGAAACAAGTTACATTGGGATCAATCAATCAATCAAAGCCTTAATCCCATAAGTGGGGTCGGCTACATGAAACAAATTTGATTATTCCGTGTAGTCACCGACAAACAAGTTACATTGGAAGACAATGGAAAAACAAATAAACCTTATCTTTGATGATGACCCAACAATCAGTCCTTTTGTCGTGCAACGAAACTTCAGCTTTAGTATATCTTCTAGATTCCTGGTAACAAGAAGAAAGAAAAATAATAAAACTCTTTCTGACTTGTAGAGATCAAACATAAGTGTTTTCCATAAGTTAATATCGATTGAAAATCAAAAGCTTGAATTACTGATGCTACAATTCTTCCCTTAAGGCAGTCAAGATGCAGTCAATCAACACCAATTACAAGACATTGTTAATGATTCCATTCAGCCTTTATAACTATTCTCCATTGGCAATTTCTATTATACATCCGGGTATATGCAAAGTATTTTTAATAAAAGGAAAAACCTTTGAAATATAAAATTAATATGCTTGCTTTGATGTATGATACTTAGAGCATAGATTCAATACAAGTAAACTAAAATGCTAAAATTATGCTAAACGCACATCAATATAAGCATTTCACCAATAACTACTACCTCCGTTTCTGTCAAACCTCCGTTTCTGTCAAACTATTGCAAATAATATGAAACGGAGATAGTAAAAACGAAGGCGAAGAAACCACAGAATACCCACAAATTAATAGAACCTAAATTCATCAAAAATCAACAATTAAAATCCAATGTGATGATACCTTTGATATATTATTGGTGTTACTGTTCAAAGCTTCAGTTTTCGATTGACCTGCTTTCAAACAAACACCAGAAAATTGATTTAATAATAACTCAAATTAAGATTATCTACATTAAAAAGTCAAAATTTGAATTGGGCATAGAAAAGGAGAGAGAATAATAACTGGGTTTATTAAATCGCGGGATAATGAATAGAAGGGCTAACAGAACACCCAATATCAATGTCACTGCTTCAATCATCTCCATTTTCTGTAATTTGGAGTTTCTGTTGATACAATTGCAGCTCACTTTGAGAAGAAGAGAGAGAACAGAGAATGAGAGAAATTAAAAACGTCACATTTGATCGAAATAGTAGTATAAATCGTGGATTAAATTACCTGAAAATTGCAGTAGAAAGCTGGTAGCTAAGGAAGAACAAAAAATCGGAGAGAAAATGGGCGATTCAAGATTAGAGTTTATTAGGAAAGCAAAGAGAAACCCAATGTTTATTTTTGTAAAAAATTATTTATTAAGTACTTCCTTCGTTTTCTAATACTACTAGATTAGATGCATTATTTTTGAATTGCGGATTTTTAGGCAATTTTTAGAGAGAGAAAAAAATAAATAAGTTCATGTGGGAGAGATAGATAGAACTTATAAAAGTAATACATTCAAATTAAAAAATTCCATATATAGAAAGTGATACATCTAATAACAAAATGAGGAAGTATATTATACACCCTCTGTCCCTATTTTTTTTTGCTTCATTGCCAAAATTTGAGTCAAACTTTGAAAACTTTGACCATAAATTCTCGTTATTCTACAATAGGTAATATAGTCATGTGGAATCTTGTTTGGTTCGTCTCATTATATATTTAATTAATATCAACTTTTTATAATTTTCTTGCGTGTAAATATGGAGATATAAACGATATAACACGTGTCTTGGAAACTGTAAAAAGTCAAATGGGGCAAAAATAAAGGGACTGAGGGAGTAGATCATTAGATTAATTAGGTATTTAATAAAGGTTTTGAATGGATTTCTTAAAATTGCTTGATTGGGGATTTCTTAAAGAAAAGTTGATGCCTAAAAAATGCAAATTAAAATGAATCGATCAAAATCCCAAAAAATAATTTGCTTTGATGTGAATTAATGCTCAAAGTTTGGTTCTATAGTTGAGAGTCTTGAGGCGCATCATTCATGAAAAACATGTAGGTGACAAGGTCTTGGAGTCTATCTTACCCCCACTTTGTACGGTATCAATTCGAAAGTAATTGGAAAGTAGGATGTACGGTATAGTAAATTATAAACCAACTCTGGATGACTGAACAATTTACTCGAAAGTGAAATTGCAAGTTAGTTGTATGCTCATAAAAGTTAATTTCGAATTAGCTTTAGATAATTGATTGATGACAAGTGTCTAGAACAGTATAAAAGATTGAGTCAAGGAAAAAAACAAGTCAAGTAATTGAATTAAATTCATGTGAAGGACAATTAGACTTGCTCTCCTTTTAATTGCAATATGATTGTACAATCGTACCTTTGTACGGAGTATTAATTAGGAAGACAAATCCACAACTGACTTGAAATAAGGAGCAAAGATTGAAGGATCTTATATTAAAAATGAAGTAGACTTGTAATAACCTTTGTGTAGAGTTTCAATGGGTTTTACAGTTAACAAACTAATGAAATTCATGCTATTACTAGTGCAATTGATTCATACATTAGCCTACCATGTCGATGCAACTGATAAATTTGACACATCTTGGATCAAGTCAGGTTACTGGTTAACAGTTAGCGAGTTTCCGGCTCCTGACGTTGATTCTTCTCTCTTCACCCACCTCTATTGTGCTTTCGCGGGCATAAACTCCACCACTTACCAACTCTCCATCCCTTCGTCTGATGTCCAATACATAGCTTCGTTCACAAACACTGTCAAACGCAACAACCCTTCTATCCAAACACTTCTTTCCATAGGAGATCACAGTATTACACCCACTTTCTTATCTATGATCTCCAACTCTTCCTCTAGGAAGTCTTTCATCAACTCCTCCATTCAAACAGCCTTAACTTATGGTTTTCATGGGTTAGATATCTGTTGTTTTCTGCCCAACACCACCTCTGACTCCTTAAACATGGAAAAACTCTTCGATGAGTGGCGGTCTGCTGTAGATCATTCTGATAAAAGATTAATCTTAAGCATGGGCATCCATTACTTGCCTACAACCTCTAGTTTTGATCATGATCAAAAGGATGGTACCGTCACAGTTGATTTCCCTGTGGATGCAATCCAGAGGAACTTTGATTGGGTTCATATGATGTCATTTGATTATTTTGTGCCACAACAATACAAATTTGCCCACCCTCATGCTGCATTGTATGACCCTTATAACCCTCATGCTTGTACTGAGTATGGCCTCAACCAATGGATAAGTAAAGGTCTACCAGCAAAGAAGATTTTGATAGGGATGCCTTGCCATGGCTGGGTATGGACCCTTCTAAATCCAAAAGATAACCAGATTGGAGCTCCGGCTTCAGGTCCAGGAATCAATCCAGATGGGTCATTGGGCTACCGATGGATCAAGAGCTATGTGAAGAGTTATGCGACTAAGATTGTGTACAACTATACGTATGTTGAGAATACTTGCTCTTTTGGGTCTTTCTGGGTGGGCTTCAACGATGTGGATGCAATTAAAACCAAGGTTTCGTATGCTCAGAAGAAAGGCCTTCGTGGGTACAATGTCTTTCAAGTTGGTAACGACGATAACTGGGTCCTCTCTAAGGCTGCAGGTAATTCAAATTGTTAGTATAGCATTCTGAATGATTTTTCTCCTATTACATACTGTAGTGACACAGAATAACATGGTATACATTTATCAGCTGAAATAACAGGTGGGAATCAGCTCAATAAAAGGCTACTTTTAGTAAAGGTGTTGGTTCCTGCAGCCAGTATCTGCTGTCTCAGCTTAATCTTCTATTTTCTCAGAAAAAGAATGCTTAATTATGGCAGTAAGTACAGTTAACAGGCTTGGTTTTGGAAATCAGTTGATTTTATGAGATGACAAAACAATTTCATAATATTGAGATTATAATCATTTTTATTCTTCTAATTTCTGTTGGGGGTGCTGTGTTCATAGGATCTATAACAACAGACACTCGAACCTTCAGTTATGATTCAACTGATGTAAAAGCATTCGGTTTCGAGGATATCACTGAGGCCACAGACAATTTTTCATTTTACAAGAAGCTTGGAGAGGGTGGGTATGGACCAGTTTACAAGGTATGCAAACTACACATTGCTTCGTTTTAGATTATAAGAGTATACTGTTTTTTATGTGTCTGAGGAAAAACGGAGAAGAAATACCTCCAGAAACATAGAAGTTTATTGAAACCAATAATGGAGGTCAGGTCATATTTTTTTTTCCTCATAAGCGAATAAGGCTGTGTTTGGTTGGATGGGAGTCCTTTCTAGAATAAGTATTTTCCCTCCCCACCCTTCAGCCTAAACAAAATCTTATCCTCTATTCCAGGGCAAATTAAAGACAGGACAGGAAATTGCAGTAAAGAGACTTTCAAAAGCATCAAAGCAAGGATTTGAGCAGTTCAAGAATGAAGTTATGCTCACTGCAAGACTTCAGCATGTAAACTTGGTTAAGGTGATGGGATTTTGCGTGGAAAGAGAAGAAAAGATGCTTATTTATGAATACCTTCCAAATAGCAGCTTGGATTTCTACCTCTTTGGTATAGCTGTTGTTCGACTAAGTTCTATGATGACAGCAAATCTAGCTAGTGAGCATAGCCATAATCAACTGCCAGCTTATAGTTTCCTTTGTGTGTCTTTTACATTGTTACAGATCCTGTGAAAAGTTTACAGCTCGATTGGGGAATTCGTGCTCACGTCATTGAAGGAATTATTCAAGGCCTTCTGTACCTGCAAGAATACTCGAGGCTAACGATCATACATCGAGATCTAAAAGCTAGTAATATTTTACTTGACAAAAATTTAAATCCTAAAATTTCAGACTTTGGCATGGCAAGAATATTCCAAACAGATGGATATGAAGCAAATACAAACAACATTGCAGGAACATAGTAAGTACATGGTTATGCTTGCATTTTTGTTTATCACTATTATTTAGGTTATACTTGGAACAAATTAATCATATTTTGGCAGTGGATATGTCCCTCCGGAGTATGTGAAGCTAGGAGTATACTCTAGAAAACATGATGTTTACAGCTTTGGAGTGCTGCTGCTACAAATCATTAGTGGTAAGAGAAATGACCAATTCTACGGTGCTAATGAAGGATGCAACCTCTTGGAATATGTAAGTAAACAAGCAGCCTAATTTATCCAGTGGCTGATTTCTGTATATGACAAATCTGAGTTCAAAAAATATATATATTTCATATGTATCAAACATAACTTCTGTGGTTAAATAAATTTATCAGGCATATGAGTTGTGGAAACAAGATGAAGGCATGGAATTTGTGGATCCAGCATTAGACGATTTAAATTACAAATATAAGCTAATGAGATGTATGCAAATTGCTCTATTATGCGTTCAAGAAAAGCAGGAAGACAGGCCATCCATGCTGGAGATTTCAGCCATTCTCAATAACGAAATTGAACACATTATGATCCCAAAAAGACCGGCGTTTTCTACCAAACCAGATGCAGATGCAGAGCCAACTCCATGTTCACAACATCTGAATCATTCTAATTATGATTCAGTAATATCTGAGCTTGAACCTCGATAATTTTCTAATTCCCCTGATTCTCCTCATTTCCGTTTGTTTTGTAGAATTAATGCTAAACTTATTTCGAGTTAGCAGGAGTATACATGTAATGTATTATTAATCCCTCAAGCATGCAAGATATCATAAAGATATCACTGATCTAAATCAAGTAGAGGCGACTCTTTTAATTCAATAAGTCTATAAAAGAATTCTTACTTCATTCATTAATGCATGTAGCAAAAGGCAGAAAAGAGCATGCTTACATGTTCATGATCACTCAATGTTATTGAGAGTTGGCCTTCAACAAATTAGCACAGCCTACCTTCATGTTCACACAAATAATACACCAATCAGCCAAGCAATGCAATGGGCTATCAGCAAAACCACTTACCCAGATATTATCTACATGAGACGACTTAGTCCACTGATGTCAACATATACAATTGTCATTTCAAATCTCTAAACATAAGCTCATTTATTTGGTTGATGTCAATATCCGAGATAGATTCAATAGGCTGATCATCTTCAACAGTCGTGAAATTTTGTGGGTCTCTGCTGTGTTCATCTGTCAAAGCAAAACAGCATTAAAAGTCATATCTAATCTCCACAATGAAGGATAAAGGAAACATCCAGGGAAATTTGACTTCATTTCCAGAAGGAAAAGTTAGCTTACCATAAATCACATTCAAGGAAGTTGGGGAAGGAGTTGCCATAAAGTTGAGGCCTATATAAAATGCCAGTCCTAAGACTATAATGACCATGCAATATGTTGGTACAGCTACAGCCCAGTACCTAGAATGAGAAACAAACATTAGCATATTTCCATAAAGGTTGCCGTTCGACTGTCGTAGAACTTGAAACTATGACCAAAATCACACAAAGGATAGAACTAGAACTCCAAATGACCATGCACTGATGTATGGGCAGCAGGTTCAATAGCAAAGTTATAGTGTAACCAACACTGCCAACTAGCATTAAATGTAGACTATTAACTTGCTTGCCAACACAGTATTTGTTCTCCAATGCCTGACGTTTGATGCATCAAGGGTTTCAAGGCAAAGGGAATATAGAACACGATGACTTGCGTCCGCTGTCAGACTAAGAAAATCCTTTCCTAGTAAGGTTTTAACTCTTCTGAGAGCTATTATGCCTCTGTTCAAGCCATGGAGGCATTGCTAGATGAGGTAGTAGAGGGTGCTCTTATAGATTAAATGCTTAGTTTATTTAGAGTCAAAGTTTAAGAAGTGCACAGCTCACCTGTTAGGATAGTAGAATATCCCAATAGAATGCAACCAATGCTCAGGAGCATATGCCCATATGAAGAATATAGCTGTTCAACAAATATAACAAAAGTTCTGTAAGTATATACCAAGAAAAAAGAACACAACAAATGCAGATCTCAGCAGAATTATTTATTCCAAGAAGCTCAAATGAATCACAAACAGAACACTCCATGAGACAATGACAAGACGGTTAACTGTACCTGTTGCAACCATAGTTGTTATAGAACCCACAAAGCCATATACTTCAGCTGGTTTTGGACCATGTTGACCAGATACACCCAATCCAGAAGCTTTATTATCAACATTTAAGAAAGAGCCAGCACCTTTCCTTTTCCTTGACAGGCTGAGAACTCTTCTTGGGCTATTAACAGGAGGAGGGTCCTCCATATTGTTCTTTGGTACACCACCTATCAGACCATCAAATACAGCTGAATTCACTAACGTATCTGAAATATGAGCAATTTTGAAATCATCAAGATCCATCATTCTGTTACAAATTTACAGCCATCTGAACTTCCAATAAAAAGGTAAAGAATACAGAGCATTACAGATGATAAGCTACTAAGCTGTCAATGCAGCTGTAGTCACAGTCTACATAATCAATCTGCTTGTCATTATATTAAAGAAAACTTCCTTCATTCATATTTCTTTATCATTCTAACAGGAAGAAAAAGAAGAAGCAAACATCAACTATTATAATCTCTCTAACTTTTTCGTTTGTATACCATCATCACTTACAATTGTGATAACTTACAAGTTCTTCATGCTATTATTAAAATTTCACAAAAAGCAAATCCATAGACAATTAAAAGAGTTATCTATAATAGAATAATCTACGTGATTTAAATAACAATAATTGCATATGAACCAAGTCGCTCCATCTCAGCATCACAAAAGCCAAATATGATACTTCTAAAACAACATCATCTACAACTACCCACGTAACATCATCATCAAATTATCAGATTCTTCACTCATTCGAATTGGCTTTTATCTCCCAAATGTCCCTATATCTCACACCCTCTAAATTTGTCACCTCATTGCTCAAATTCAACTCAAAAATCAGAAAAGAGACTTAACTAATTACCACGCAACATTTCAAACCCCACATTCCCATTCAATACACCTACTTCTTTCTCCCTCTACAAGCAAACTGGGCCCACCAATAGGAGGCCAGACACTTTTTATACGCATAGTTCCCACAATTCTCCTTTCACCCTTGAAGTCAAGCAGCCATATGCCCATATCTCTCTCCTCACACTCGTTTCTCCTTTTGAAATCAATTTTTTAAAAAGGGTCTTTCACCAGTCTTATACTTGCTTGGTGCAATCATGGAGCACCTAATATGGCAATACATTCCCCTACTTCATACTGCTCCAGAAGCTTCAAATACGTACAGTGAGGGAATAGAAGGAGGATTGTGGGGTCAGAAATGCTGCTAAGATGTACAGGACAAAGTTTGGATCCTCAGTTGATCTGGAGGAAATGGGTTAATAGAGCAGTGGGATGGGGAAGTCTAAGTGGATGAGGGTTGTTGTAGTGAGTAATCTACTTCGTTAATCATAGAGTTTGGTGATGGTATCGCAATTGGTTTTGGCCTTCTGCATTCTATTTTGGAGATGAGAGCTAATTCAGACCAGAAAATCATGAAATCTAACAGCTAGCATATGTTGCCTAATAAATTCAGATCAAAAACACCATCAATAGAATACAGTCCATATCTAACTAGAATTTTCTTGCAGAAACCTAAACTTTGATTTGTTTAGTATTGCACCCATAAACAAATTTGCTTGCACCTATAAATCAAATTAGCTTGTACCTGTAAACCTAAGTTGAAGACTGTTAGGTACTGCATCTATACGAGCCTAACAATCTTCTACCTCAGCAATAAGTTACTTGCATAGTCAGCTAGTTCTAGTTTTCTGCAATGAAGTCAGCATTAGCATGAATAGAAACATGTCACTTCCCTCAAAAGACAATTCCACTAGACATGAAAGGGCTTGGTCAAACTACCTAAGATTACCAGGGGAAAAAAAAAAGCATCATGCATTCTTTTTTATCAAATAAAGTATGTTTGTACGGATTAATAATTTTACCAAGAAACAATGCCATAATATGATTATAAAAAAAAACACATGTGGACTTGCTGGTTAAGGATCATGGAGTTCAATATTTTACAAAGTCCCAGCTTGCATCTATTGAAGCAAAACTAGTAGCATACAAATACATCAAAGTTACAACAAAACAGACATTTACCAGCTAGGTAAGGTAACAAGATTGCTTCTATTCCATCATGCACTAAAATATTTTAGATTAGCTACCATCTGAATTCCTTCAAACTTCAAAGTGTCGTTCTCTATTGCCAGTTTGCCGTTTTCAGTTAACAATGATATTTAAAATCTGTAGCACTGTCAGTATTTTAGCAAATAATTGTTGTGCACACAATAATCCAATCTTGATGCCTGATTGAACTTGTAACAAAGTTTACAACCCCCCACAACTCGATAAAGTGCTGCAGGCAGAGCTGGCAGTTGATACCACATTGATGACAGCAGAACTTCTAACATTGAGCTGTTGACCCAGATTGCTAATCACTTACTGGTCACATTTCACCATATATTTCAGCCTATGCTGAGCCTCCCAACAACAACATTGAGGAACTCATTTCTATTTGTAATCAAGATCTTTCACCATTACTACGCGACACGATTACAGTCCCTAATAGAGCACCCAACATGCTAGTCCATATTCCATAACAGAAGGCCAATTTTATCAAAGTTACTAAGTTACTTACAGTACATGTAAGAGTGAGACAATTAAAAAGCAGATAACAAAATAGAACTCAAATTACACAAACCCTAACATAATCGGCGCGAAATCTGGAAGTTTAAAATTGGGGAAAAACAAATTACCTCTGAGAAGGAGTGGAAGGCGATTAAAAGAAATTTCGATGTTAAATATAGCGATGTTACAGTAGAAGCAGCTCAGAGTTGTACTATCAATGGTGAGGTTGTTGATGGTGAAGGCGACGCCATTGATGCAGCAGACAAGTGCGTCCTTTCCCAAAATATTGTTGGGAAAACACGCAATTCCCAAAATACAGTTAATCTTTTTTTAATTCCCACCATGCCGTCCACGTCAGCTAAGGGAAAAAAACCGGTTTTTATTCATAGGTCCAACAACAAACCGCTGCTCGGTGTTCTGGGAATAAACCGCTACTTCAAGTTTTTAAATTGAAACCGCTACTTTGTCTCGAATCACCGCTACTTGTTTTCCATTTTATGTAAATAATTTTTTTTATTATTGAAATAGCTATCAAATCTACCATATTCAAGGGACAAATTCAGAAGAGCATACTGAAATCAAGCTATATGATTGATAATACTTCAAATTAAACAAACTAAAAAAAATCAAATCTGAGCTATGATTGATAATACTTCAAATTAAATCAAACTAAAAAAAAATCAAATCTTATTTTTGTTAGATCTTACATGCTGTAATTATAAAAAATCACATTATACATTATTAACCTAGTGGCGGAAAAGCTTGTGACGATGAGGCAGCGGTTCAACTACGGTGGAGATGGCGGCGATGGCACAACGATGGTGGTGATGGCGGCAGTATGTAGCCCATAGCCAATGGCGTCACCAGGATTTTTGAAGTGTGGGTTCGAAACTTGGAAAATTTGAAATCGTAATTAACAAAAGAAAAAAAATATAATAATTAAATATTCAGTACATAAATGTCCTTAGCCGAGCTCCTGCCCTCCCCCACCTGGCTTATTCTTTAAGCCACCCCTAGGAAAGGCTAAAGAAAGACCGCATGCCAAGCACATTTCACATAGATAGAGAGAACTCAGAGAAGAAGACTCATCCAACATACCATAGCTACTTAAACTATCTAAAGCCACATAAGGAGAAAAGAGGATTCATCCAACATTCCAACATACCACGATAGTGCAATAAATGTACAAACAGCATATGAAATCAGAAATCCACTTATCCAGAAGGCAGAATACGAAATAGCATATGAAATTCAACAATGTAACATAAAAAATCCCCAAATTGAGAACTTGAGAAGTAAATTAGCAAATTATAACCAATCTTCAACAATTTACAAAAAATCCTTAATTCGTAATGAATATTAGCATAATAGCATATGAATTTCAAGTATTCAACGATTAAGCAAAAAAAATCCCCAAATTGAGAAGTAAATTACTTAATTACATTAGCCAAATTAAAAAAAAAAACCCCCAATTTCACTTACGTAGACGATGCGAGGATGTGAAGCTCCGGTTGCGGCTGACGTTGGGGGCTCTGCCAAGGAGGAAGAAGTTAGGGTTTTCAGGTTTTGCAATTTGGGGGAATGAGGAAGAGGAATTCAGGGAAGCTGGGTAATTGGGTAAACCGTAACTTTTGAGGAAACAACAAGTCAGTAAACAAAATTAAAAAAAAAAATAAGTCTGAGTGATGGGAGGTAAAAATAACCACTGGGCTACAACTTTACTCTTTGTCATATATTACACAAATATTCTATTTAAACTTATTTCTATTTTTTTACTTTTTTTTTAAAAAAAAGTTTTTAATTTTTTTCAAAAAATCAGTGGGAACCCACCCTAGCTCCGTCCCTGAGTGGAGGGGAGAGGAGGGAGGGGTGCAGCGTAATAGTGAAAAGGGGATAAAAGAAAACCAATAATACCAAAAGAACTGGGCACAACTGCACAAGCGAGCTAACCGTGCAAATCCTGATGGGTTAAGAAAAAAATAGTCCAGTACTCGTGTTGTATTAGAGCCCGCCCCAGTCGATATATTTGATAAACCTATTTTGATTTTTTTTTTTTTTTTTTTAAAAAAAGTTTTTAATTTTTTTCAAAAAATCAGTGGGAACCCACCCTAGCTCCGCCCCTGAGTGGAGGGGAGAGGAGGGAGGGGGTGCAGCGTAACAGTGAAAAGGGGATAAAAGAAAACCAATAATACCAAAAGAACTGGGCACAACTGCACAAGCGAGCTAACCGTGGAAATCCTGATGGGTGAAGAAAAAAATGGTCTAGTACTCGTGTTGTATCAAAGCCCGCCCCAGTCGATATATTTGATAAACGCTTTTCGTTTATCAAGTGGTTCTTTTGTAGCTAAGTCAAATACTCCGTAGTATTTATTGCCAACTTATAAGTATGCTGTCAATTATTGTTGCATGGCATAAGGTTGGCCATTTAACTAAGCTAGCAATGAAAAAACTCCGTCAGAAAGGTTCTTTCATTCATTAATCGATGGCAGCCATAAAACCACCATCGCTATCCGAACCAAACATGAACCTCCGCGAACACCATCTCAATTCCACCCACATATCTCCGACATCACCTTTATTGACGATTTCGCCGCAAAATTAAACTAAAACCCTATGAATAAAGGGTTAAATTAAGGGCATGGTCAACCTCAAAGGGTAGGGGTGACCTTTTCCTTCATTGAAGTAGTTTTCTTTGCTTGATTTTCGAAGATGCTGTTGAAAATTGATGGAAATTGGGAAAGAATTATAAGGAAGAGGAAGGAGTACTTCAATGGAGAAAACAGACGTTTATTTTGTTAACTCCGTGTGGTAGGTAGACATTAAGTGAGTTTCATGATATGCCATTGTTTCCATGTCAGTCATGGCAAAAGTACAATCTTACCCCCATTAAAGTGGAAAATTTGTCCAAAATACCCCTTGATATGTTTTTTTTTTGTTGATCAAATAGATCAACTTGTATATTCTCGTTGTATCATGTCGAACTTGTGTCTTGTATAAAAGAGTTTATTTATGACCCGGACTATGTGTTGTATCTCGTATGGTGTTATGCCAGCGACTTCTTGGATGATAGATAACTTTTTGCAATTTGGTCAAAAATAAGCAAACTAACACATACCCGGTTATTATATTCAACTCATGCTGCCAGATTTTGAAAAAAGATGATGTTCTTTAACGTTGTACCGAAGTTTCGACGGGCGTGAGTCGAAACATTTTAATACGTGTGATTGATCAACCAACCAAAGTGCTGACCTGTCCTATGCCCAGCTCTATTGAGGCGTACTCCTACAGTCTTACTCCACCCCCAAAGTCCACAAATTTTCACATGCCACTTTGACGCATGATCTCTTTCCCTCTCTTACCGTTAAGGCTCAACAAATTGCCACAGCCAAAATCCACCATTTTTCTCCACATTGCAGCAGCAACAACTTCTTCTGAATCAATTGACCGATTTCCAATCAATCAAACATTTTTACAAGAACCCCAACAAAACCCAGCTGAGAAAATTCAAAACTTGTTATCAAATTGCACAAATTTACTTCAACTTCATCAAATTCATGCTCATATAATTAGAACCCACTACTTAGAATTAAACAATGCCCCATTTTATTGGAACAATTTCATAAGATTATACACTAGATTAAACTCCCCATGTTCTGCTTTTCATGTTTACCTGTCTATGTCTAGAGCAGGGGTGTTACCTGATCATTATACCCTGCCCATCACCATTAAAGCTGTTGGGCAAGCTTACTCTTTGAAAACAAGCCAGCAACTTCATGGGGTTGCAATTGTTCATGGAATTGAGTGTGATGAGTTTGTTCAAAGTGGGTTGGTTAATATGTATGTGAAAGTAGGTGAGTTTGGAGATGCATACAAGGTGTTTGATGAAAGTCCTGAGAGAAAGTTAGGTTCTTGGAATGCAATTATAGCTGGGTTAGCCCAAAGTGGGCGTTCTAGGGATGCTTTAGGTATGTTTTTGAGGATGAGGAGAAGTGGGTTTGAGCCGGATGGTGTGACAATGATTAGTGTTGTTTCGGCATGTGGAGGGTTAGGGGATTTTAAGTTAGCACTACAATTGCATAAATGTGTTTTTCAAGTGAAATGGAAAGGACAAGAGAATGTTTTGATGATGAATTCGGTCATTGATATGTATGGGAAATGTGGGAGGATGGACTTGGCTTATGGGGTGTTCTCGAAAATGGATGAACGAAATGTGTCGTCGTGGACTTCCATGATAGTAGGTTATGCTACACATGGCCTTGCCAATAAAGCTATGGAGTTCTTTCATGCCATGATAGAAGCTGGTGTGATGCCGAATCATGTGACTTTTGTTGGGGTGTTGAGTGCATGTGTTCATGGTGGGATGGTTGATGAGGGGAAGCGTTGCTTTCATATGATGAAGAATGTTTATGGGATCGAGCCCAACGTGCAGCATTATGGATGTATGGCGGACTTACTTGGTCGAGCAGGATTGCTAGAGGAGGCAAGAAATATGGTGGAATCCATGTCCATGAAGCCAAATGTTGTGATTTGGGGGTGTTTGTTGGCAGCAAGTGAGAAATATAATGATGTTAAAATGGGAGAATGGGTAACGAAGCATTTTCTCGAGCTGGAGCCATGGAATGATGGGGTTTACGTTGTTTTATCAAACATCTATGCTAGTAGAGATATGTGGGAGGAGGTTGAAAAGATGAGGGAAATTATGAAACAGAGAAGATTATCTAAGCTTCAAGGTTATAGTTCTGTGACCATTAGTATCAATTGAAAGATTACCCATTCTCTTCTGAACTCGCTTTACACTATAAATTGATTGTCGTTTGACATTTCACAAAAATTTCAAATGGGAAGTGATGTGTTCTTTGGATATTTACAGTTATCGTCTTCAAATGTTGTAGTAAGTAATATGAGATTGCCTTGAACCATCTTCGATGCCATGATAGCTGTTTTTATTCCAAATAATATGTGTAGTACATAGATCAAACGACTGTTAAAACAAAACAAAGACGACAATTACAACGCTAGGAACAAAATAAAACACCACAATTAACTAATTGCTAGAGTTAATCCACTAGTTTATAACACCAGCTTTGAGAGCTTCTTCCATCCGTTTGGCCATAACTTTCAAGCCTTTACCAATATACTCATCCAAATCCTCGGGCTTCCACCCTTCCACTGGCTCAACCTCGTAATCCCATTCAATAGCACACCCATCATCCTGCCTTATCACTCTCACCTTAGACACATATGAGTTGAACCCCACATTCCCATCAATGATCGAGTAGCTTAAGCTCATGCTATCTGGATCAATGGACAGCAGTTTTTGCTTAGTCCAGTTCACATGGTTCTCATCGGCATGCTATGTGGGTCTTAAACCCAGAACAGTAACGGACACAGCCAGGCTGACCTTCAACACCGTCCACCCTAATACAGGTGCTGAGAGTCGGAAACCACTTGTTCAGGCCACAAAAGTCTGCCAAGAAAGGCCAGACTTCTTCAGCCTTAGCACCAGCTAGCTCTGCACGTGCCTTTCCTTCCCATTTTGGTTGATTACTAACAGTTTCCATAATATAACACCACCTTAATTCTTTTGTTAAAAGACTGAGTTTGAAGCTGAAGGCGAGCCTGCTGATTGTGCTGAAGTATCTGTATATAACCAGTTCAGAGAGTTTGAGATATCCTGAATCTGAGGCAAGTTATTCATCTAGGGTGTGTCTGATTTGATGTAAAAAGTTTTCATGGAAAACGTTTTTCCGATTTTCCCTAATTTTCCTTTGTTTGGTTGTGAAGGGGTGGAAAGTTAGATATTATTTTCCTCTTTACCCGTTACCCCCTATTTACTATCTTCTAACCCATCCTCACCTTTCCGCTCCTATTTTTTATTTCTCTTAAACAATTATTGTAAGTAACCCCACAAAGGAAAACTAATTTGCAACTATGGTTCTCCTTGAAAATATGTTTTTCATGAAAACTCATTTTTCATTGAAAATGTTTTACGTCAAACCAACAGAGCTAGAAGCAATGTAACCCGTGAATATTTCTAATATTGAATGAGTCAATCATCCATGTGAAGTGATGTTGATACATCATTATTGGACCTCATCAATGCTCATTAAAGAATCTTTCAATTCGATGCTGCATATGAAGTAAAACATATGTAAAACGAGTACGTCAACATCACTGCTTCCAACTAGATACCGATATATTCATCTATCACCATAAATCAATCACACCTACTTGCACGGAAAATGCATATAGCTAATTAATTTTGTTGTTCTTTGTTAAATTAGAATGCGTAATGAGTAGACTCAAAGAACGAACAGGCCAATTTACGTTGCCTGATATTGAATCAACCTTCAGAAGGCATCCGCTAAGAGAAGGCCTAAGTGGAATTGCCAATCTGGCACACTAAACTACACAAAAGAATGCTGATTGTCTAAGCAAAGTGAAACGCGAATACAAAAATGGTATCTCTTCTTCTATACACAACTCTAGTTGAGATAATACGAAACCATATTCTTGTAATCTTGTATCGTTGTATGAAAAATTTATTACTATAGACTGTGAAGCAGGATGACTGTCACTGATATAAGGCATAAAATCTTGCTGCTGCTGACCTACCTTTCTCTCTGAAGAAGTTCTCGCATGCTTCCTAGTCCCGATTTAGCTACTGTCAAGTGACTCGAGTCAGGCCTCTCTTCATGATCAGATGTTTTCCTGTCATACTTATTCAACCTTTGTTTTTCAGTACTATTCTGCAGAAAAATTTTCTGGCATGATTCAATTCCATTGCTTGGATTTTGCAACCTTAAAATGTCCCCCTTAATCGAACTCTCAACCTGGATGTTGATCCTCCTAGATGGTGCAGAATCGTGTTTTGGAGGCCCCGTCTCATCATTAAACCGAAAAACTTCATAATTGTTATCATCTTTTTTCAAGATGACAGCACCAAGATTGACTAGGGACACAACCTCAGCTCTATTTCTACCTCCAACTATCTCATCTTTCTCTGATATCAGTGTTCTACTCGCGTTCCTGGTTGACATAATCGCCTTTTTTTCCTGTATCACCTCTCGGATTTGACCCTCTTTGGCTGAAATTTCTCCTAACTCTCTCAAATCCAAGGCCTCATTAGCATCAGTATGAGATGACTCATCATCTTCTTCTTCACTAACTTGAGAAAAATCAACATTTCTCTCTTCATCATCTTCTGCTACATGTTTTATCCTCTCAGCTTCTCCAATCAAGTCCATTCCATACAACTCCATCCCCTCAGCATTGTGAGATAATTCGAGGCCTCCTTTACGCCCCAAAAATTGCCAACCGCGGTCATTTTTGAACTTATTCTCTATATCATAGTCCACTGCATACAACTTTATCCCCTCAGCACTGTCAGATGGCCTGAGACCTCCCTTGCGCCCGAAAAGCTTCCCTATACGCTGGGTTCGTACCTTCTTATCGACATCTTCGTAACCATAGTCTCTTACATGAAGTAAGTGGTAAATCTGGTAAAGCAACCAGAAGCAAACAACAAAGAAGATTGTAAACTGCACAATCTGTTTAATATTTAACCCTTCACCCCTCTCTTTTCGGATAACATGTTGATGATTCAGTCCAGTTTCTTTCATTGCTTACTGCAAAAATAATCCTGCAATTAAACACAACATCAGAAAAATTCAATCAAACTAATTGCTCAAGAAAGTGACATTTTCACAGAAATACAGGTAAACAATAACGAAGATACAGCCCCGATAATCGTACCACCGGAGGCGAAATAGAAGGTGAAAATTGCTGTAGAATTTAATACAGGGAAATTAGGTAGAAAAGTCTTGGGAAATTTACATGATTATGATCAAAATTGGGTGATAATCAAATGACAAGAACATATTTTTCATCCATGATCAAATTTCTACCAAAACTTCTTGAAATTTATAGCATATATCCGAAATACTTAATCAAATGTCAGAAATTTCATCAAAACTGTGAAATTGCCACCAAGAAAAGGGTAAAAACAGAACAACATAAGAAAGAAAACTCCCACAAAATTCATCCAAATTCAAATATAATTACAACCCATTTCCCATAATCTAAAATCCTTTTCATAAACAGTAAAAAATACATCAATATTTTTTAATTTAAGAAGATTATCAATGCGATTTAAGAGAAAAAATACAGAGAATAAGAGAGTACCCTGTTTTATTGACTTCTTAATCAGAATATTCTGCAAACTTAATCTCCAAACCATGCAAAGAGTAACGAAAAAACAAGTTGTATAATCTTTTTTCTTAATTTCTTGCTTTGATTTCTATGGAAATGAGATTGTGAAGAAAAAAATTTGAATTTCTGGGTTTCTTGGAGGTTTAAGCGTTGAATGAAAGAGAAAACTAGCGGTTATATTTGAATTGGTAGTCTCGAAAATAGGTTGTTAGACAATAAAAAAAATAAATGGGAATTGGGCTAAAAATCTCTATATTTTTTGATAGCCCAAACTTTCTTGAAAAGAGGATTTATCGGGCTTTAAAAAATAGGAAACATGGAGGTAAAAATTTGCACCTAGGGGCGAGCCAAGCCCAAACTACTTGGAGTATGGTGCTTTAGTTTTTCGAACTCGAGCCGAGCTCAAACCTTGACAAGTCGAGTTTTGATTAAGCGTTGACAGAGAAGATATCAAATTGTTCACGAACAAGCTTAACTTATTATCCTTAGTTTTTTTGTTTACTTTATTTTTCTTTATTAAATTTTTTTTGTGAGTTTATTTCTTTATGATGAAATTACTAACTAATTATTGTGTAATGTCTAGGATAAATCTAATATCATATCATATCACTAATAAATAAAGTCGGTCTCGCAGGCAAGCCACGAGACAGCGACACTTGGCAATTCAGTTTTTCTCTAAGTGTCGCACCACGCAAGAGATAAATAGGCATTATTGTGACATATATGATGTTAAGTAAGCGATTTTTGGACTGATTCTTAAATATAAAATTGTTGCATAGAGTTTTATTATCGATAAAATTCTAATATTTCATATATAAAAAATTAATCATAACTTTAATAAATATCCTATAACTCAATTCTATTTCCATCATCAAATTCGTTTTAAAAGTTCTTTAAAATAAGATCCATTTATAATATATTTAATCACAATGCAAACTTTTATACGTAGCTGGTCAAATCGTCTCACCAACTATTACAAGATCAGAGTTATATTGTTAGTGCTATAGGAGTACAGGGGTTACTTAGTCAGTGTTAGAGGTTACTCAGTTAGTATTACAGCAGTTACTCGGTCAGTTTAATAGGGGTTACTTTGTCCTTAGCCGCATACAAAATGCATTGTTATTTAATTTATTTTACAAAAATATTAGAGAATAAGTAAAATAAGTTTTAATCAGTAAAAATAATTTTAGTTTGTTAAAAATACTTTCATTTTAGTGAAAATAATTTAAGTTCAATACAAATAATTTTAAGACAATAATAACATAGATATCTATTTACAAACAAAACTATACAAAGTACACTCCATATGATATCGTATGTCTAAATATCCTACATTATCAGAACGAATTATTTAACCGTATTAAAAAAAACTATACAAAGTACACTCCATATGATATCGTATGTTTAAATATCCTACATTATCAGAACGAATTATTTAACCGTATTTAACATTTAAGTAAAAATGTTATCTTAAAATTTTATCAACCATTTGGGCATTGTCCGGGCACAAACCTAGTATATATATAAAGGGAGTGTTTTCTCGAGTTTTTAGAGAGGATAGAAATTTCTTAACATGTGATGTAGGATTATAAATTTTAGTGATAGCCAATCAAATAAGAGATTTGTAATTTCTTTTAGAATTAAATAATT